GCCCCTGCTGCACTAGGCCCGGAACTGCCACCTCTACTGCTGGGCTGGCTGAATCTGATTACAGGCAGGCCCTGAGGACAGTCGGGTCATTGAGAGCCCAGAGATGAGCAAACAATAAGATATTATCTGAAGGAATCTCTAGCTTTCCAAAGGAAAATGGTCCTTCTCAGTGTCACATTGACGATAGGATCCTCAACCTGACATTGAAGCAGCCATTTAAGAAGAATGAACACTGCCACCCATTCATAGATACTCACTAAAATAATGAGAGCTCTTTTTTCACCCTTGTTTAAGACATATAAAGGGAAACTCATGGGGCTTTGCAAGACAAGGCTGTGCAGAAATTGGAGCATGCAGCTGACTCACAGATGAATACGCCTTTACAATGATTTGATATTGACTGAACAATCCCTTGGTCTATCACCATGGTACTTGACAAAGCTATATAGAAAATCTAATATAAAGCAAATGTATGTGGTTTCTACAATTGAATGTGCGTGACTATGTAGTGTAGCCTATTGGCTAAATGTTTTGTACATTTCTTCAAAACCCTAACAACTTACATAACTGTTGTTTTGTATCAGTATAAAAAAATAAAAAATGTATGCACTCACTAACTGTAAATCGCTCTGGATAAGAGCGTCTGCTAAATGACTAAAATGTAAAATGTATCATTTTGAAGAAACATAATATACTGAACAAAAATATAAACGCAACATGTAAGGTGTTGGTCCCATGTTTCATGAGCTCAAATAAAAGAGCCCAGAAATTTTCCATACGCACAAAAAAGGTTATTTCTCTCCAATTTTGTGCACAAATTTGTTTACATCCCTGTTAGTGAGCATTTCTCCTTTGCCAAGATAATCCATCCACCTGACGTGTGGCATATCAAGAAGCTGATTAAACAGCATGATCATTACACAGGTGCACCTTGTGCTGGGGACAATAAAACGCTGTCTGAGACCAGCCACCCGGACAGCTGATGAAACTGAGGAGTATTTCTCTCTATAATAAAGCCCTTTTGTGGGGAAAAACTCATTCTGATTGGCTGGGCCTGGCTCCAAAGTGGGTGGGCCTATGCCCTCCCAGGCCCATCCATGGCTGCGCCCCTGCCCAGTCATGTGAAATCCATAGATTAGAGCCTAATGAATGTATTTAAATTGACTGATTTCCTTATATGACCTGTAAGTCAGTAAAATCGTTGAAATTGTTGCGTTTATATTTTTGTTCAGTATAGAATACATGCACATCTGAATCTATTCTACTCAAGAATGCATGGTGAATATAGATGCACCGTAAAATAAGAAATGTAGCTATATCTTACTACATAAAAAATATATAAAGCCAAGGTGTCCATACAAACTCTTTCCGAAGAAAAAAAATATTCATGCAAACTTTGGATCCACAAATACTTTTCTTTCCCCCAACAAATATTGTTGACAAACTGATATAGGTTCTATTAAAGCTCGTCAATAGCACTATGAGAATAGTTATGTTATTGGTGTGCATGATTCGTTAGATGTGTGAGTTTACTGTGTGAGTTAACTGTAGGGCCCTTAGATCAGCGGGCCATGCTTATCCCTGAAGTAAACAGGGACATCTTGTGGACAGATGTGTGATTTATTAAGTTGTTGTGCGTGCGGCTGCTTGCTAAATGATTTCCCCTATAAATTGATGCTTATTATGGTTATTTTGTTTGAGCTCTCCATTCAAATGAATTTGAATATTTTGTACCCACATCATCCACATTATTTTGCAAGATCAGACTCTTGTTGGAATAGGCTTACAATGTTGAATGTCTTTGGCATAGGGGTCCAAACAGGATACCAACTTCGAAAACAATTAAATTAATGTTTGGTTCCTCTTATCCAGCTAATTAGCCACAATAATAATCTGCACCACACCTGACCTAAATCAATTATGAATCAATAATTACAAAAATATCAGAAGGATATAGATGTTCCTACTAACAAAAGTAGGGCAGTCAATGATTCGATAGTCATGTGTATAGAATAAATGCCTTCATTGTCAGGAGATAGAGTACTTAGGCCAAAGAGTGTAGCTAGGCCTAAATTAATTTCAATCAAAATAACTACAATTTGTCAGCTGTCCAATTAATTATTCGTCTCGCGATATTCCGGAAATGCTCTCCAGCAGCAGTGGAAGCTGCCAGTGAGTGGAAGGAGAGAGGGGGGTGAGAAATCTAGCAAAACCGCGACGAAGAACTAGCCAACCTTCTACCGTGGAAACGGCAGTTTTATTCGAAAACCCCCACGATTGTTACATTATTTATATACACACAAAGTGAGTGGTTTGAAAAACATCGTAATTTAAACCAAAGTATCTGTGCCAAGTGTATTAGAGAGCCATATCTAATTAAACGAGCAATGGCGTTGAAAAGAATTCAAAAGGTGAGTGTTTGTTATTGTTTGCTTATTTCTTCCTGCCATTTTGCGTTGCAACTAGTCAGCTAATTTGTTAGCTATGTTTACATTAAGTATGGTTCTCCAAGATGGTTTGCCACATTTAATGTAACAAGCACTTGTTTGTGCTCTCCTTAAATAGTTGGCAGATAGACAAAGACGAGAAACCAATGGTGGCCTTTTGCAATTGACGCATTTCATGCTGGCTATGCTAAGCTGTTAGCTTAACAGGACAGTATTTTTTTTGCTAGCTAGTTAGCAGTCCTCACTTAACATTAGCAGCTAACTAATGTAACGGGCCTGTACATACCTAACTGCATTTGGTTGGGGTACAAGTAATATGACCACATTGCAAGTGTAACAATAAATAAGCAAGTTAGTCATGTATTTGTGTCTGACGAACCGGGAGAGAAAGTACAATTTGAGGCTAACTTTAGCTGGCTAATGGTACCTATCTTTTGCCATCTTTGCTCCATCATGAATGAGTGTGCTGGAAGGTAATGCGCACGCGTGACATATAACAGCTGTTTGCAGGTTGCCAAATACTGAATCCCGATGTTGCCATATATGGAATGGCAAATGGGGCACTGGGGCAGGCAAGTGTATTTATAACAGAATGGACAGCGTTTGCATAAAATGTTAGCTAACTAGATTATAGAGAAAGTGTATTTTATTTATGTACAGCAATGATAGTGACGTCATACCATATTAACTCAAATGGTACACCACTAGTGGTCCATATCAGTTAAAATATGTGATTTTGGTGAACAATTGCAACAGTGGTCTGTTTGTATTTTTTCTGTATTCTCAATGTATTAAAAGTTGTCATGAGTAGGGATATTTGGTATGGAGTAACATTATCACTTCACAGTATGGTACAACTAAGTAAGGGCCTGTAGAGTAAAACCAACCTGGACTCAGGGATAGCTGTAACATAGTACAAGTAAATTCGAGACACTCCAATTAGTATGATATGTTACCTTTTGTATTGTATGCATAAAACTGGTCATATAAGCCTAAATGTCAAAGTTGAGAAGAGTCTTTGGTAGTTAATTTGGCAGTGACACCCTTCACCCCAACTCAGTGCTCAACCAGACTATGTGATGTAGGCCTAGCCTATTTATTTTTCCCTATCTGAATGTCAGTTTTGTCACATTTCCTCACTGTGTTGCTCAGTGTCTGAATCGGGGTCATATTCACTAGAAACAAGTAAAACTAAATGCATGCTCTTCAATCGAACGCTGCTGGCACCCGCCCACCCGACTAGAATCACTACTCTCGACGGGTCTGACCTAGAGTATGTGGACAACTACAAATACCTAGGTGTCTGGTTAGACTGTAAACTCTCCTTCCAGACTCACATTAAGCATCTCCAATCCAAAGTTAAATCTAGAATCGGCTTCCTATTTCGCAACAAAGCCTCCTTCACTCATGCTGCCAAACATGCCCTTGTAAAACTGACTATCCTACCGATCCTTGACTTCGGCGATGTCATTTACAAAATAGCCTCCAACACTCTACTCAGCAAATTGGATGTAGTCTATCACAGTGCCATCCGTTTTGTCACCAACGCCCCATATACTACCCACCACTGTGACCTGTACGCTCTTGTTGGCTGGTCCTCACTACATATTCGTCGCCAAACCCACTGGCCCCAGGTCATCTATAAATCACTGCTAGGCAAATCCCTGCCTTATCTTAGCTCATTGGTCACCATAGCAACACCCACCCGTAGTATGCGCTCCAGCAGGTATATCTCACTGGTCATCCCCAAAGCCAACACCTCCTTTGGCCGCCATTCCTTCCAGTTCTCTGCTGCCAATGACTGGAACGGACTGCAAAAATCTCTGAAGCTGGAGACTCATATCTCCCCCACTAACTTTAAGCATCAGTTGTCAGAGCACCTTACCGATCACTGTACCTGTACACAGCCCATCTGAAATTAGCCCACCCAACTACCTCATCCCCATATTGTTATTTATTTTGCTCATTTGCACCCCAGTATCTCTATTTGCACATCATCTTTTGCACATCTATCATTCCAGTGTTAATACTAATTGTAATTATTTTGCACTATGGCCTATTTATTGCCTTACCTTCATAACTTGCTACATTTGCACACACTGTATGTATTTTTGACTATGTTTTGTTTTACCCCATATGTAACTCTGTTTTTATCGCACTGCTGTGCTTTATCTTGGCCAGGTCGCAGTTGTAAATGAGAACTTGTTCTCAACTGGCTTACCTGGTTAAATAAAGGTAAAACAGAAACGGACTGGGAGGGACTACCTGATCTTGTCCAATAAGAAACTCTTGTTTTCGTTGCAAAGCAACGGTGTGCACTAGTGAATACGACCCCGATGTGACTACCTATGCCAAGTTTTTTTTAAAGACATGCAGAATTGCAGAGACAACAGCAATCTGTTTAGAAAATATATATCAATGACACAGTTATATCCATGACTGAATTTTCTACTTATTGGCCACATCGGCTAGTAGTGGATACAAAAATAAAATTTTAGACACTGCCTGTATTTATGCATCATTATTATTATTCATCTCTTTAGGAACTGACAGATTTGCAGAGGGATCCACCTGCACAGTGCTCAGCGGGACCAGTTGGAGATGATTGTAAGTAGGGATGAGCTAGTGGATAAATCCTTTATATTAATAACATCAATGACATTTGCCATGTCGGAATGTTTTTAAAACAGTTAGTGCCAGTTTGTCAGACATTCAGTATTGCATACGCAATACTTACATTTAGGCAACTTTTGATGGGCAACCACGCGATGGGCGAGGCTGTGACATTGTTCTGTATTAATTGTAACCCATTTGTAATTTTATTTAGTGTTTCACTGGCAGGCAACAATAATGGGTCCGGTATGTGATTTAATTTCCCTTTCTCTTATTAGCATATAGCTTAGCATCAATAAGCTTTAAGGGTATTCTTATCCTCTTTCTAAACATGTTTTTCTTTTATTATTTTAGAATGACAGTCCTTATCAGGGAGGGGTGTTCTTCTTGACTATTCACTTCCCTACAGATTACCCCTTCAAACCACCAAAGGTGAGTAAAAAAGCACATAAGATCAGTTGACATTAGGAAACACAATTCATAGTGCTAGAAGTAAGTGCTGGTTTATAAAATACTTAATTAAATTGCAGGTTGCGTTCACGACAAAAATCTACCACCCTAATATCAACAGCAATGGAAGTATTTGTCTGGATATATTGAGATCGCAATGGTCGCCTGCACTCACTGTATCAAAAGGTAAGCCCCTGTGAATGTTGGTATAGGATCTGACATGGGGTTGGAATGTAATATTTCCTGGCATTACATGCAGTATAACTATATGTTACATAATAATAATAATAATAATATTTAAATATAATGCAAAAGACCCTTGGATTACATGACAACCAGACAGAATATTATCTCTCTCTTATTTTAGAACTGTGAGCATACAAATTTAGGTGGTTTGTTGAAAAGCAGTAATTTAATATTTTAAGAGTAGGCCTAACATTTTAAATAAACCATTGTTTGATCTAGTCAATGTCTCTCCTGGTAATAATGTACAATACAATTAGGGATCAAATTCAGCAATCCATTATTGTGTTTAGTGTTTTATTTTCTACTTCAAATAGTGTCAGAATAATAAATATTTAATTTTTAGACTTGAAAAGGGCAATCATCATGTGCCACTTTATAGCTCTCAGATAAAGAGGTGGTCAACAGTAACTGTTGTCATAGCAATATGGATGTGAGCTGTGTGTAGATGTATTAAAGGCTCATGGTTCCCCTTAAAGAAAATGCACGGATAATTGGCTTACTTTTTGGATAATAAAATATATTAGATATTATTTTTGTTGTCGTGTGAGTGTGTGTGCAGCTGGAGGGGGTTTAGATGTAGCTATCCAAAGTTGATTTTTTTTATTTTTTTTCCATTTATTAGTTCTCTTGTCAATCTGCTCTCTGCTTTGCGATCCGAACCCAGATGACCCGCTTGTACCAGAGATTGCACACACCTACAAAGCTGACAGGGAAAAGTGAGTGTGCCATACAGTGTTTGATTCCCTTGCTTTGAAACTCCAGCATACTGGTATTCTTGAATAGGGCCTAGTCCACAAACAATTTAATGTATCTTTAATTCCAACATTTTGGTCAATAGACATTAATTTGTTACCAACGTTTCAGTCAACCCTGGTGAAGGTCTATTGACCAAAACATTGGTAACAGTAGCTAGGTTTCCATCCAACTGGTGACAGATTTTCATGTGAATATTCTAAAATCTGCATAAAAACAATATGCGCATTTTCCTACCAGAGATGTTTCCATCAAATTGACCTGTTGTGGATAAAAGGCTCTATGCGATGACACAGTGCACATAAAAACAACTTTTGTGGTTAAATTCCCATGTACTGAGTAAAATACAAGTTAAATGGGTTTCCATCGCATTTTCAACTCTAGTGATGGTTTTGTCAGAAAAAATGTTTCGTTACATTGCGAATGTGCCCACTCTGGTCTTGGCACGTGCGCTCTAGCCAACAATTTGCAGATACAGTGCAGGTAGGATAGCCTTCGTGATGAGATTATGGACAAAAGAGCGAGATTATTTTTATTTGTCAAACGTCAGCCAAGCATTGATCATCATGTCACCAGAATAAGACCCTCGATATTTATTGGAAAGGAGCATCACCACTCATCACTGTGCACTTTCACCACCCTGTGAAGTTCATCATAACTTATTTCATCTGTAGCCTAATAAACTGCATGCTTTTTTGTCGTAGTGGGAGGACCACACAACATATCATCGTGTGACTCCGTTTACTTCAGTATGATGGTTATATCAATATTTGCACATAAAGGCATTTCCATCGCCTTTTCTCGCATAATTAATTTTACAGACATAAAAATATCTCCCCTTGTCTGTCGTGTTTTGTCGACATTTGGAAAGTTTACCGATTTTAATTAGCTGTTCCATCAGGCCTGTCGTGACTGTTTTTAATCCAACATGTACTTAACTCGCAAAAAAAGGTTGGATGGAAACCTGGTTAATGGTGCATTCAATTATTTGTGGAATATTCAAGAATACCAGTGTGCTAGTTTAGTTTTTCTGGTATAGTGCAAACCTTCCATTTTGTTTTACAGGTACAACAGACTAGCAAGAGAATGGACACAGAAGTATGCAATGTGAGAATGCCTTTGAAATTAAACACTAAAAGAAGAAAATAAACATGTTCAATATTAACACAAGGCAAACGAACAAGAGGGGAAACATAACTAGACACTCGGGTTGGAGAAGGAAGTGATAAAATAAGGGACAGTGCAACCTGGCTACTAAGTGCCGAGCTGCTGCCATGTGCCGTTCTTCATGACTTGTACGGATCTGCTGAGGAACTCCTGAAAGCACTCCCTTGTGGAAGACTGGAACCTCCTCATGGTCCAGACCACCACACCCAGACTTTAACTATTACTACTTCTATTGTGACTATTATTATCAGTGTTACTATTCACTCTTATTATTATGATCACTGTTGTTATTACCATAATGATATCATTGTGTTATTCTACTGAATGCTGAAACATTGGGTTTGAATTTGGAGGGGAGTAGTTAGCAGCTTGGTTCTCCCTCCTTTCAAAGGTACTTTCTTTGCCCCTCTGGATGTCTTGTATTATTATGTTAATGTTTTCAGTGGCCTTGCTGTATTATTGTAATAACCTCTTCTCAGATGTTAGCTGTGCAATTTGAGGTGGAGTGCTCAGCACACAATGGTGCATGGCTATATCCAGCAGCGAGGTTCTATTGCCCACAAAATCTTGAGAGACTGTCTCGAGTTAGTCTCAAACCCAGACATAATGTGAGATGATTAAGTCGTTCTGTTTCCCCCTGAGCCAATTTGTTTTATCACTCAATGCATTTGGAAATGTCCCAAATGCAGTGACAGGTGGTCTTTGGAGAGCCTGGAGAGAGGTGCTATCAAGGTGAGCTGCCCTGGGTTGGACTGGTATCTGTGCTCATGGGCAAGCGACCAGGGAGAAAGTTCTGAAACTGCCACTACTTTTCTCACCGGTGTCATCTATGTCCCCTTTTCTTGTCCTAGATCCATCCAGGGCTAGCATCTTGCCATATAACATCCTACTGTAAAGAGACACTTAAACCCTGGTAAAGCTAATCTCTATGAGATTAACTCCTCCCAGCCATACAGTGCCACTTTCTAAATACAGTAGCTCAGGTATATATCCAACTCACCTGTCTGTGAAGGGCACTGTAGTGACCTATGGTGTGAGAAATGACCAGACCTTCTGTTTTGCACACTGAGCTGCTGCTTTAATCCAGAAGTTGTCTTTTGTGACGTCTGACATGGGTCATTTATTAGCTTTCCCTTTCCCTTCTCAATTTATCACATTGTTTTACTGTAAAAACACTGATGTGAATGTTTTCAAACAGTTTTTGTTCATGCTTGGATAGACACTGCACATACTAATGCTTTGAATATGCCATTGGTTAAAACTGGAGTAATTCTTTTTAGATGGGAGCTTGAAAATACTTCCTTTAATGACAAACTGTTTCAGATCTATGAATAAACATTTAGTTACATTTTTAGTTCATGTGAGTAACTTCAGGTGTATTTGTCATCATGGTTAATTGTGAAGGTTCACTAGGTGTTTCACAAATGTTTCCCATGCCTTTTACATCTTAACATTGTAACCTGGATCGTGGCAGCTGCATATTTGTTTTAGCAGATGTCTTGAGGTTTTGTTCTCATCATTGGAAATGTACTTTCTCTTTATTTTTCCAGAGGGTCTGCAGCAGTGTACATGTGCAGTACATTTGTAACGTAGTATTCTGCAAGCTTGATTGATTGATGTCACTAAAATGACCACCATTGTGATTCATCTTCCATTAGTAATATCAAATCTAAAGTCAACATAAACCTGTGCAGGTGCTGGATTATTTAGACTGCATCTGTCTTGAGCCATAGATTATTTTAAACCAGGTTATAACTGTCTAATGTTGACATGGAAAGGGAATAAAAAGTAGTGGGGGGAGGGAGTATAAGAAAGTTGGCCATTTAAGTGTTTATAATGCAATTTTGAGAGGAGAGTTTTAAGATTCAGAAGACACATCAGGAACTTCCATATATGGGCATTGTATTCTGTACTAAAATGCAGCCTTTGAGCAGGAACTCCGTATTACATTTTAGTCATTTAGCAGACGCTCTTATCCAGAGCAACTTACAGTTAGTGAATACTTTTTTTTTTATACTGGCCCCCCATGGGAATCGAACCCACAACCCTGGCGTTGCAAACGGCCATTCCCTTCCCTACCCTGGACGACGCTGGGCCAATTGTGCGCCGCCCATGAGTCTCCCGGTCGCGGCCGGCTTTGACAGAGCCTGGATTCGAACCAGGATCTCTAGTGGCACAGTTAGCACTGCGATGCAGTGCCTTAGACCACTGCGCCACTCAGGAGGTATACAGTGGTGACAGACCTCATATTGAAATGTGGCCCTGAACAGGAGCTCCACACATGGGCACCAACATTAATATTGCGCCCTTGGAACAGGAACACCGTATATGGGCCCAGACACCCATATTGGAATGCGACCATTAGCAAAGAACTCCATATATGGGCATAGAGCCGGGACCATGCCAATTTGCTCACCTGCATCCAATCTTCATTAGCCACAAGCCCGCATCACCTGAATCCCCTTGCCTAATCAACCACCCTCATAGTATTTAAATGGCATCCATCGTCACACTTCTGTACATTGGTGTAACAAACAGGCTGTACTGCAAGTTGGTGCTGAGTCATTGGCCCGCCACACTGTTCGAGTCACCCTCCTGGCTTCCTGCACAATGGTGGGCCAGCTCAACCCTGGTCCATTATGGTGGGCTGGCCCTGCCTTACCATTTTTTATTTTTTTTTGGTCATTTTTAGCAGATGCTCTTATCCAGAGCGACTTACAGTTAGTGAGTGCCTACATTTTTTTTTTTTTCATACTGCCATGCCATCAGGCTCAGCACAACCACAGTTCACGACTGGGGCCTGACCCTGCCAGAAAGCCAGCTACTAACCCCGATCACGACTGGGGGCTGGCCTCCCCGTCAACCATAAACGCCAAAACCCTCATACCAAACTCTATCAACTACTATTCCTTCTGACATATTCGTCAGGTGGCGAGAAGCCGAACTCTGGAAATGCTTGATATTGTCGCAGTGACTGTCCTTCCATAGATTTAGTGAAGGATCATTTAGGTTGATTGGGCTGGAAAAACATGTTCTACACTATAGACTGGTTTTACTTACTTAGGAGCCCAATGCATACGGTCACATTATGACATTTAGAATAGGTCATAAGGCTATGATTTTGGCTCAAAATTGGTCAACAAATTAGCCGCAATGGATTGAATATCCACTCTGAATACACCAGAATCATCTGGCAGTAAAACCAATTCATAAAAAGACAGGCAGTGAGTAATGCCACTGGACAAAATGTGTTTCTTCAGCTTGCTGATTAAGCTCCTTATATTTGTTTGGTTATTTATTTGTTATCTATCTGTCTTCCAGTTGTCATTTTTGAGTGCAATCAGCCTCGATCCATCAAATGTTCCTTTCAGTATGACATCCTGGTTTGATCCAAAGAGATACTAACTAGAATGATCTCAATGGAGGTCATGATAGGCAGCTTGGCATGCTTTGCAAAATGGATAACCTTTTCACAGCCATTTGCCAGATATCAGGGATTTCTTTACAATTAATTTGCCTGACACCTCTGACAAAATCTTAGCCTTCACCATAATTTTGTGTATAGATACTGTAAATTGCTATCAGGACTTGTTTCCCCCCAAAGGGACATTTATTTAATTTGATCAGTAGAGACTTGCAATGTAAATTTAAATGGGACTACTAATTATTTTAAATGTATAGCCTTGCTAACTTGAAATTCAGGACCAGCCTTTTAAAATAAATGCATCTCAAATTTGATATCTGTATGTAATTAAGACTCTCATCACCATAACCAATTATCTCCACTTGCATACACATGACAGAAAATAACAATTGAGTTGTCAATACAAATAAATAAAACTTCTGAAATTAATTCAATACTCTTTTCTTGACTGAAATCTAAATGTATTAAAAAATATATAAATCAATCAAACTTTATTTAGAGCACATTTCTTAAAACAAACACATTTATACACTAGGTATACTAAACATTAGGAACGTCTTCCTAATATTGAGTTGCACCCCCCCTTTTGCCCCCAGAAGAGCCTCAATTTGTCAGGGGCATGGACTCTACAAGGTGTCGAAAGCGTTCCACAGGGATGTTGGCCCATGTTGACTCCAATGCTTCCCACAGTTGTGTCAAGTTGGCAGGATGTCCTTTGGGTGGTGGACCATTCTTGATACACATGGGAAACTGTTGAGCGTGAAGAACCCAGCAGCGTTGCAGTTCTTGACACAAACTGGTGTGCCTGGCATGTACTACCATACCCTGTTCAAAGGCACTTAAGTATTGTATCTTTCCCATTCACCCTCTGAATTGCATACACAATCCATGTCTCAGTTGTCTCAAGGCTTAGAAATCCTTCTTTAACCTGTCTCCTCCCCTTCATCCACTGATTTGAAGTGGATTTAACAAATTACATCAATAAGGGATCATAGCTTTCACCTGGATTCAAGTGGTCAGTCTGTCATGGAAAGAGCAGGTGTTCTTAATGTTTTGTATACTCTGTATATATTCCCTTATCTCTGTAGTTTTCCATGTATATTTTAAATTTTTCTGGTCTAACAGGCTGTGTTATCAGGTTTAGATCAACTTTGTTACAAACATCAGAGATTAGGGATGTTTCTACTTTGGGTCTATAAGACCTTTTTTGGAACATAAACAATAACACTCATTTAGAACGCTTGGCCCCACTCTACATCCTGCTAGCTGTAGCTGCCCCAGAGAACTCAACATGTCAAGTGCATGTTAAAAGCAGAAAAGTAAACCAAGTCTACTTAAAGACAGAAAAGCGGGTTGCATGTAGCCTAGTCAGTGTATGGAGAAGAAAAATAGTCTATACATTACTTGCATTCATGGTGCAGAAAATACATAAGAAAGAGTACTTTAAACATGACCAGTTTCACATCAATGTTCCATCAGAGGGCGCCTAGTCAGAGTGGAGGGGGTGTGGAATGCTCTGTCAGAGATATCTCTGGTTCTGTTCATGATGTTATGAGGCGAGTTTCCTGTGTGCTGAGCTCTCAATCAGAAGTCATTCCATTCTATTCTACTTCCTCCAATAAGTAGCTAGGACGGGCGTTTCACGGTTAGCACATCTGTTTGAGAGACAGAAAGATGGCAGTGAACCTAAGTAAAAATGGCATTGCCCTGACAAATGCCTACAAAGAGGTGGTAGATGAGAAATCCAACACGAACTGGTAAGGACGGTAGCTAGCTTTAATTGCTTCGCCATAACATGTTGCATCTGCTATGTTTAAGGAGCTAGCTAGCTCCCTAGCTAACATTTAATTTATTCTGTACCTAGCTAGCTATCATATCAGTTAGCTAGCTCACTGGCTCGCTAGTTGTGCAATGAAAATGTTACAACGAAGTAGTATGATGATTATTGCGATGTTGTTACTTCGTGGCCGAGACATCTGATTACCCTGTTGTCTGGCAATTTCCTTAGCTTGTTAACTAGCTAGTTAGCTAACGTTAGCTAACTAGTTAAGGATTATGTTATATAACATTACTGTTAGTTAGCCTATTTATTTAGTTACCTGTTAGCGTTTATTTTATTGGATTCATTCACATTGCAATGCCTAAACAGTACAGTAGCTAGTTAACGTTAGTCAGAATTTTTACTTGAGAAAAGTAACGTTAGTTGTTGGAGCATCAAGTTAATTCCTGTGTCACTGACGTTCAAATGAAACCTGTTGGTGTCAGTTTTTAAAGATGACCTCAATTAATTAACCGGCTTTAGTTGTCAAGACTAGGTTTATCAAACCCAGAGGGTTTTAGTCTTAGCACAAATCCTGTTGCTGTATTGAAAGTCCTTTAGTTCAACGGTGGCATGGGGACCAGACTTGGCTAACTAAAAGAGGAAGCTCTCAGAAGGGTTTTTAGCTATTTCTCACCATATAATTACACCGAACAAAAATATATACGCAACATGGAACAATTTCAAAGATTTTACTGAGTTACAGTTAATAAGGAAATCGGTAAATTGAAATAAATAAATTGGGCCCTAAGCTATGGATTTCACATGACAGGGAATACAGGTATGCGTATGTTGGTCACAGATACCTTTTTAAAAAATGGTAGGGGCATGGATCAGAAAACCAGGTGTGACCACCATTTGCCTCATGCAGCGTGACACATCTCCTTTGCATAGAGTTGATCAGGCTGTTGATTGTGGCCAGTGGAATGTTGTCCCACTCCTCTTCAATGGCTGTGCAAAGTTGCTGGATATTGGCGGGAACTTGAACACGCTGTTGTACAAGTCGATCCAGAGCATGCCAAACATGCTCAATGGTTGACATGTCTAGTGAGTATGCAGACTATGAAAGAACTGGGACATTTTCAAGTTCCAGGAATTGTGTCCAGAACCTTGTGACATGGGGCTGTGCATTATCATGCTGAAACATGAGATGATGGCGGCGGATGAATGGCACGACAATGGGCTTCAGGATCTCATCACGGTACATCTATGCATTCAAGTTTCCATTGATTAAAATGCAATTGTGTTCGTTGTCTGTAGCTTATGCCTGCCCATACCATAACCCCACCGCCACCATGGGGCACTCTGTTCACAACGTTGAAGTCAGCAAACCGCTTGCCCACATGACGCCATACACGCTGTACAGTTGAAACCGGGATTCATCCGTGAAGAGCACACTTCTCCAACGTGCCAGTGGCCATCGAAGGTGAGCATTTGCCCACAGAAGTCGGTTATGACACCGAACTGCAGTCAGGTCTAGACCCTGGTGAGGATGACGAGCACGCAGATGAGCTTCCCTGAGACAGTTTCTGACAGTTTGTGCAGAAATTCTTCTGTTTGGAAACCCACAGTTTCATCAGCTGTGCGGTTGGCTGGTCTCAGACGATCCCGCAGGTGAAGAAGCAGGTTGTGGAGGTCCTGGGCTGGTGTGGTAACACGTGGTCTGCGGTTGTGAGGCCGGTTGGACGTACTACCAAATTCTCTAAAACGACGTTGGAGGTGATTTTATGGTAGAGAAATTATCATTCAGATCTCTGGCAACAGCTCTGGTGGACATTCCTGTAGTCAGTATGCCAATTGCACACTCTTTCAACTTGAGGCATCTGTGGCATTGTGTTGTGTGACACAACTGCACATTTTAAAGTGGCCTTTTATTGTCCCCAGCACAAGGTGCAATTGTGTAATGATCATGCTATTTAATCACCTTCTTGATATGCAACACCTGTCAGGTGGATGGATTATCTTGGCAAAGGAGAAATGCTCACCAACAGGGATGTAAACATATGTGTGCACAATTTTAGAGCAATAAGCTTTTTGTGCATATGGAACAATTATGTGATCTTTTATTTCAGCTCATGAAACATGGGACCAACACTTTACATGTTGCGTTTATATTTTTGCTCAGTATACATACTAATGCACTATTAAAGGAGCTCTACGCTTTGCACACTTAAAGTTGCACTATGCTGAAATCGCTCCACCATTTCCTGTTTGTTCAAATTCTAATAGTTAGCCTAATTTCAGTATATGTGACAAAACAAGCAAGTATATTGTAGAGAATCATTGTACCATCTAAACCGCTGTTAAATATATTTTCCATCACCCAAAATATAGTATTTTCAGCTGTTTGAAGCTGGTGTACAAAACCGAAAGGAAAAGATACAAAAATGAAACTTAAGAACGGGAAGCATAGAAAAATAGCTCACATGGGGGGGGCCTCCCGAGTGGCGCAGCGGTCTAAGGCAGTGCTTGAGGCGTCACTCGATCCCGGGCTGTGTCACAGCCGGCCGCGACCAGGAGACCCATGAGGCGGCGCTCAATTGGCCCAGCGTCATCCGGGTTAGGGGAGGGTTTGGCCGGCCGGGATGTCCTTGGCCCATTGCACTCTAGTGACTGCTGTGGCGGGCCGGTGCATGCAAGCTGACTTCGGTCGCCAGATGTACAGTGTTTCCTCCAACACATTGGTGTGGCTGGCTTCCGGGTTAAGCGAGCAGTGTGTCAAGAAGCAATGCGGCTTGGCAGGGTCGTGTTTCGGAGGATGCATGGCTCTAGACCTTCACCTCTCCCGAGTCCGTACGCGAGTTGCAGCGATGGGACAAGACTGTAACTACCAATTGGATATCACGAAATCGGGGAGAAAAAGGGGTACAAAGTACACAAAAATAAATAAATGAAAAAGCTCATAGAACAGATCTACCGCTTCTTTGACTTGCTTTCAATGAGGATGATAGATCTCACATTTCTCTGTGAATTTGGTGGGTCACCCAAAAAGTTACATATTGCAGCTTTAAATGGTCTGATCCAAAGTTATGCAGTTCAACCAAGTGTCATGTTGTTTTGAGTAAGGCACATCACCTAGCCAGGTTGCTTCAGGATGCTATTCTGCAATAGCTTACTAAGCAGTGGCTAAGTGTGGTTGTGAATGTGGACACTGATGTTGACAGTATGTTGTTTAAACTGCTTATTAGGCTACCTATCTACAATTTTGCAATGGTAGTGTGATCCTGTAACCTGGCATTCTTCTCTGCAGGGCCTTGTTCACCTATGAGGGGAACACTAATGATATACGATTGGCAGAAAAGGGAGGTGAGTGTGGTAGACAGAATCCAAAGATTGGCTCCAACATGTAAATGTATTCTGTTTGGAATCGAGTTTGCAATGTTGTCTGAGATCATCACCCTCACTTATGGTGTGCCACTGAATTGCTCTCAAAGCACAGTAAGACAATTTTAAAAGATGCAAGCAAAGGTAAATGTAAATCTTTTGCAGTAGTGGCATATTTTATTGTTTGGATAAGTCTCCCAGACAAGAGTTTCTTTCAGAAGATAACTATTTGCATATGTGAAAAGAAAGGTAACAAAGCATGTGTAATCACATTTTAGTCATTTAGCAGACGCTCTTATCCAGAGCGACTTACAGTTTAGAGTTAGTGCATTCATCTTAAGGTAGCAAGGTGAGACGACCACATGTCAGTCATAGTCAGTTGGCTACTTGTGTACCCAAACGCTTCAGCCCAGATTGAAAAAGAAGAGGATCAGGTGCTCGACTGAGGGACATGAAAATCCCAAAAAGAATCCTTACCCCAGGACACTTCAACGGGTGACTATCCAGGAATATAAAGAAAAAGGATCCCTCTGTTTCTGCATAGATCTGATAATTAATTGACGTGGTATACAAAAAGGCTTACGCTGGCATATTCACCTTTTAAGGGGGGGGGATTAATCAAGATACTTACAACCCATACTGTCAAAAATAGAACATGTTGAAAAGGGGAGTCATTTGTCATGTGATGTTTACATAATGTAGGCTTTACACAGTAATGTAGACTTTGCATAGAACATATATTCTACAATGTTCCGATACTGGTGTTTTCAGATGGTGGACTGGAGGAACTGGTGGAGGAACTTAACAGCGGTAAAATTATGTACGCTTTCTGTCGTGTCGAAGACCCAAACTCTGGCCTGTGCAAATACGTCCTCATCAACTGGGTGAGTGCTGCACTACACTCCCCTTTCTTCTAAAGGTGGCACTCCTCTGTATTTTGTAAATCAGGTCAAGTTGAATGAATCTTATGAGTATTTGTGTTTCAGACTGGAGAAGGTGTGAAAGACGCCAGGAAAGGACTGTGTGCCAATCATGTCAGCTCCATAGCTAATTTTCTCAAGGTAATTTAATTTGGCAAGGTCTAGACCCGTCAAACTCAACTCTGGACCTCGAAGCCAGTTCCACTGCATTTGTTCCCTTCAAATTAGGGACTGATTTAGACCTGGGACACCAGGTGTGTGCAATTAATTATCAGGTAGAACAGAAAACCAGTAGGCTCCAGACCTCGTAGGCGTTGAGTACCCCTGGTCTAGACATTGTCTCCACACAGGCCGCTTATGTTTAGTTAATGACGAAAAATCAATAACTATGCAATTACACCACATGACCAAAAGTATGTGGACACCTGCTCATCGAACATCTCATTTCAAAATCATGGGCATTAATATGGAGTTGGTCCCCCCTTTACTGCTATAACAGCCTCCACTCTTCTGGGAAGGCTTTCCACTAGATGTTGGAACATTGCTGCGGGGACTTGCTTCCATTCAACCACAAGCGTTAGTGAGGTCGGGCACTGATGTTGGGCGATTGGGCCTGGCTCTCAGTCAGCGTTCCAATTCATCCCAAAGGTGTTTGATGGGGCTCTGTGCTGGCCAGTCAAGTTCTTCCACACCGACCTCGACAAACCATTTCTGTATGGACCTCGCTTTGTGCACGGGGGCATTGTCATGTTGAAACAGGTAAGGGCCTTCCCCAAACTGTTGCCACAAAGTTGGAAGCACAGAATCGTCTAGAATGTCATTGTATAATGTAGCGTTAAGATTTCCCTTCACTGGAGCTAAGGGGCCTAGCCCAAACCATGAAAAACAGCCCCAGACATCTGGCATCTGCCAAACCCAGATTCGTCCGTCGGATGGTGAAGTGTGCTCCAGAGTCCAATGGCGGTGAGCTTTACACCACTCCAACCGACGCTTTGCATTGCGCGTGGTGATCTTAGGTTTGTGTTCGGCCATGGAAACCCATTTCATGAAGCTCCCAATGAACAGTTCTTGTGCTGACGTTGCTTCCAGAGGCAGTTTGGAATTCGGTAGTGAGTGTTACAGACGATTTTTACGCGCTTCAGCACTCAGTGGTGCCGTTTTGTGAGCTTGTGTGGCCTACCACTTTGTGGCTGAGCCTTTGTTGCTCCTAGACGTTTCCACTTCACAATAACAGCACTTACAGTTGACCCGGGGCAGCTCTAGCGAGGCAGAAATTTGACGAACTGACTTGTTGGAAAGGTGGCATTCTATGACCGTGCCACGTTGAAAGTCACTGAGCTCTTCAGTAAGGCCATTCTACTGCCAATGTCTGTCTATGGAGATTGCATGGCTTTGTGCTCAATTTTATACACCTGTCAGCAACGTGTGTGGCTGAAATAGCCCAATCCACTAATTTGAAGGGGCGTCCACATACTTTTGTGTGTATAGTGTATTTATGTGTACACTTGCAAAACTAGCCTCAACAGGACATGAAATGAAGAACAATTGCAGGAAAGATAGAGTAGACACCCCTGTTAGTGCCAGTAATAGCATTTGAGTGTTTAAGAGTTGAGCAGAAGTTGGATGCTACTTAGGGTGAATTATGGGTTGAAGTTTTCTCTTATCAGTTGTTATCATGAAAGTCACCATGCTAACTGCATGTCAACAAATCCTATGGGTGGTGGCTGAGTCAGATATCAAATATCCCTGCTACGGACAACCCTTTCACGGCCTTATCTGGAATGTGTGATGCGTGTTATTTGTAGCTAAAATGTCTGCTGTAATTCCAGGGAGCTCATGTCACAATAAACGCCCGTGCAGAGGAGGATGTGGAACCTGAGGCTATTATGCAAAAGGTGGCGAAGGCCTCAGGGGCCAACTACAGCTTCCACAAAGAGTCCAACAAGTTCCGAGACGCTGGTCCCCAGGGACCTGTGGTATGTACAGCATCTTATCCTTTTGGAAATTAAAATCATAAAATTGTAGTTATGCATTATGAGTTTGTTTCATCAAATGATGTACAGGCAGGTTGCACTGTTAGGCAAGTTGCTTTGTGGTCAGATATACTCTCATAGCAAATTAGTTTTGGTTATTAACTTGTCTGCCTGTGGACATTTTTGGTTAGAATGATTGAACAAGGCTGCGGATGAGAGATTCTCAGTGTGGGTTTGTTTCCAACGTGTTGGATGTTGTGACGTGCAGAGCTGGTTGTTTACAATGACTCATCTGCAGTAGAATCCAGGGGCTTAGTTGAGCTCATGATTGTTGGCCAGGGCTGGAGCCAGAGAAGCCAGGCCAGGACAGCCTGTTAACTCTGCATAATAAACCAACATGCTGTGTCAGTACTGGATCTGGGTAGGGGTTGGTGTCTAGGAGTGACAACTTGTTTTTTGTTGTGTTTAGCTAACGCTTGTATTTTGTTATGACAGGGCTCTGTGTATCAGAAGACCAACGCCATGTCTGAAATAAAACGGACCAATAAAGACAACTTCTGGGCGCAGGCAGAGGTAAGTCAGCTCCAACACCTTACTCCCACTACAGGGACTCCACGGTGTCGCCCTCCCAGAGTGCAAAGAACCTTGGCGTGGCCCTGACGACACCCTGTCGTTCTCTGCAACATCAAAGCAGTGACTCGCTCCTGCAGGTTTATGCTCTACAACATCCGTAGAGTATGACCCTACCTAACATAGGAATGGCGCAGGTCCTAATCCAGGCACTTGTCATCTCCCATCTATAATATTGAAACTAACTCGCTGTTGGCTGAGCTCCCCGCTTGTGCCATCAAACCACTGCAACTTATCCAGAATGCCGCAGCCCACCTGGTGTTCAACCTTCCTAAGTTCTCCCATGTCACCACGCTCCTCAGCACACTCCACTGGCTTCCAGTCGAAGCTCGCATCATCTTCCAGACCCTGGTGCTTGCCTACAGAGCAGCAACGTAAAGCCCCTCCTTGTGGTCCTCTGTAGCTCAATTGGTAGAGCATGGTGCTTGTAACGCCAGGGTAGTGGGTTCGATCCCCGGGACCACCCATACGTAAAAATGTATGCACACATGACTGTAAGTCGCTTTGGATAAAAGCGTCTGCTAAATGGCATATTATTATATATATTATTATATTATTACCTTCAGGCTATGCTCAAACACTACATCCCAACCCGAGCACTCTGTTCCGCCACCACTGGTCTCTTGGCCCTCCCACCCCTACGGGAGGGCAGCTCCCACTCAGCCCAGTCAAAGCTCGTCTCTGTCCTAGCACCCAAATGGGGGAACAAGCTTCCCCCTAAAGTCAGGACAGCGGAGTCCCTGCCCATCTTCCGAAAACGTCTGAAAACCTACCTCTTTGAAGAGTATCTTAAATAACCCCAAAAAAAGGCACTTGCTTTTCCTACTAGCACTGACTTTGCTCATAAATACTTTGAGGGAAAATGTACTTGATACGATTGTTGTTGTCTCACCTAGTTATCTTAAGATGAATGCGCTAATTGTAAGTCGCTCTGGATAAGAGCGTCTGCTAAATGACAAAAATGTAAAACGTAAATACTGGTTAGATTTGCTTGAGTGTTGCTCAGCATGTTCTGGTTAAATAGTCCTTTATAACAGTGAATACCCTGACTTCGTATCATGCTCTGTGTGTCTGTCTCAGAAAGATGAGGAGAAGCGGCAGCGGGAGGAGCGCTGCAAGGCAGACGAAGAGCGCCAGAAGCTGGAGAAAGATCGGAAGGATCGAGAGGCCAAGGAGGCAACTCTCAGAGAGAAGAGAGACAAGGAGAGGGCCTCTATGATTGACCAGCAGAAGTGAGTAAAAACGGTGGTTAGGAAACTAAGCTGGAGGTGGTTATCATATTTAGCTGACCTTATTAAGACAGTCAGGTTTCCATTTAGTCTGCTTTTCCCATTTGTTTAACAGGACGTACCAGCAGCAGCAGGAAGCTGAGAGCAGAGACAATGAGAAACAACAATGGGTGAGTTGTCTGCTGACTCACAGCAGGACAGGCCGGCTGTCTGAGTAGAATTCAAATCAGATCCACAGTAGGGGGCAGTAGATCTGTTTATACAAGATGCACCCCACCAGACCTGGGTTCAAATACATGTGTATTTGTTATTTAAATAGGCCTGCCTATTTTCTGTGTATTTGAATATTTTCAAATAATGTAGCCCGATTTCAATTACTTCTATTGGAAGTATTTTCAAGTAATTTCCTTTAAATAGCCTACTATTTGAAAGTATTTTCAGATACTTATTTCAGATACTATTTAAATACCTGGGTTATATGCATGGGAGTGTATTTGAGTCAGTGTATTTGAATATTTTAAAAGTGTATTTCCAAATACATTCCAATATTTAACTATTTGTATTTTCTTTGAAATGTATATGAAAGTAATTGAGATATTTGAAATAGTATTTTAACCCAGGTCTGCACCCCACCTAAATTATGTTTTAAATGTGAAGGCACACATTTAGGACATAAGTATAACACTAGAACAAACTATACAGAACCGGTAGGTGTAGCCTCAGAGGTAGTGTTGAATGATGTGTGGTGCATCATCGTCATCATCAGGAGGAGCAGGAGAAGGACTTCCAGGCAGCTCAGAAGAAAGGGTTGAAGCGTGGTGAATCAGTGGAGAAAGCCAATGTGAGTTAAATGTGGCCCCCTGTAGGATTAATAATTGTTTAAAGGTTCCCTGTGACTCAGAACCCTCTGCTTCCCTTTCCATCGACTCAACCAAATCTGTTCGTTGCTTGAATCTAAACTCTCCATAGCTTCACTTACTGTCGTTTTCTTGTTTATACATTCTTTCTACTCTACTACCCTCTACTGTGGTCATGACTTCTCATCTTTGAACATCATTCAGAACACCTTTATGCAGACAGTAGATGGTATTGTAGATTATGTGTTGTAGATTATGTTCTTTATTAAAGGGAACATCTGGAACGTTGCTATGGCTATACAGTACCCAGTGTGTATGTCTGACCACATGGTGTGTTTCAGGAGGCGGCCTCCCTGATCTCCCAGCGATCTATGAACCCCAGAGAGATGTTCAAGCAGAGAGAGAAGGGCATGGCCTCCAGCACTGCAGACACCAACACCCCTGCCAGCCCCCAGCCAGGTAATCCACCAATTCAATACAACTGTTTGCTGTTTTATATACCCAGTGTAGTTCTTAATGAGGACTTTAGGTGATTATGTCAAATGTTTTTTCCATGAGTGTTTCATAGCTGGGCTTTCTAGCTCTCTGTCAGGTGTGGGTGTGATCTTGCAGCGAGATCAGGGGATTGTCTGGGCCATGTTGAAACATGCAGAAGGAGAATCTTGTCACATTACTCTGCCTTCATCAACTTTATCTCATTGTCTCATATCACATCTTGTCTCTAGACCACATCTGCTTTGTGTTGTCTCTGCTCTGCTGGGTAACCTTTCCGGCCAACCTGTCTGTCTGCTCTGGTGTGTGTTTCTCAGGGCGTTTGAACAGCCCATTTCTTTCTAAGCAACTATGCGAGCCCGAGCCGTCCCACTTGCCCCTGCGCCAAGCCTCCCCTCTGCCAGCAGGCTCCGCCTCTCCTGTCCCTGCTGCAGGTCTGAGCTCACTCATACCGCTGACACAAACTGACCCCTTCCCAACACACACACACAGAAATAGTTCACACGTAGGTGACTGAGAGACATACACTTGCTATGTTTGTGTTTTTGTCAAATCTCTACCTGATACTACTCCCTTTAAATCAATCAATCTAAATGATTTACCTGATGCTACGCCCTTTAAATCAATCAACCAATCAATCAAACCAGATGATTTACCTGATGCTACTCCCTTTCCTTTCTTGTTATTGCAATTTAACACCACCCTCATGGCTCATGGGCCATGCCCATCATTAGATCACTGTACATCATCAATCTCATCCAGTGGCTTGTTGTTTTCCATGAGACTTGACAGATGGTTTGGTAATTATTCAGTGTCTGAATATTTGAGTGCATGCTTTAGTATGTTTGTACATTTGTACACTCTGTGTATCTGTGCTCGTATATCATTTGTATGTGTGTACGTTGTGTCATAATAAGAACCCAGTGTGGATGAGCCTGTTGTGGATGAACCCACTCCCAGTGTGGATGAGCCATCCCAGTCTGAGTGCTTGGATGAGCAGGATGCAACCCCTGTTCAGGATGCAGTCCCTGAGGATCAGTGGCAAGATGAAGGTGGGCCCTACTCCACACACACCTCAGTCTGAACACACAACAGTCATATTCATCTCTCATCTGTGTATCATCATGACCCTTTCTCTGGACACATTTCTTAATTACTTTGTGCTCTGGATCGCTGGTGCTGCTGCCACCTGTTGGTAGAGAGAGGTAGTGTTTTTCAGATAAAGACATGTACTTTTTCAGTTTCAGTAAAGGCAATGGCAGCTCCCACTCAGCACAACCATGCCCCAGAGCCAGCCGAAAACAACCTCTATGAGGAGCCCCCACAGGTGAATATTTGTCAGCACATGAGCAGTGAGATTCATTATTTGTTACAGCAATAGTATAGTCCCCTGTAGCTCAGTTGGTAGAGCATGGCGCTTGCAACGCCAGGGTTGTGGGTTCGCCACGGGGGGCCAGTATGAAAATGTATGCACTCACTAACTGTAAGTCGCTCTGGATAAGAGCGTCTGCTAAATGACTAAAATGTAAATGTATAGTTTATTTTTTATCAGAAAATCCCTTATCACAATCATTATTGAAATACCATTCAAGTCGAGAGGTAAATATTTGCGCTTGAACTTAAACTTGAAGAGCATTCTCAGAGGTATAGCACCCCTTGTTGTTCCCTCAGATGGAAGAGAACACGAATGAGGTGGCTGCAGAGAAGACCAACCGAGGTGTCTGTGCCAGGGCTCTATATGACTACCAAGCTGGTAAGCATTGTCACAGCCTACTGACAATTTACAGTAGACACTCGGCCCACTGAACTGGTTCTCTGTGTGAGCAATGTGTAACCGTGACGTTTTGCCCATATGGAGAATCAATGTGGGTGGAACTGCTAGATGGAAACTGGCAGTCAGTGAGCAGTGGTTCCCCTAGGATATTTTTCAGCAACTGTGGCAAAGTTGGGGGGGGGGGGTACTGGGTATGGCCAGTGGCATGGTTTTAGAGGTAATTCTACACATTTTCCCATGGGGATGAGAGAAACTGCAGTTTCAAAGCTAATTTCCTGCAATTCTACACATTTTGCAATGGCTTATGCCTTGTTTTTAATGCTATCTGAGTGACTCAAACATTATAACAAAATCAATAGGAGCCCCATGCCATGATGACATTTTGGGAATTTCAGATTCTCCCTGTCTTGTTTTTATTTTGGTGATTGTTAGTTCTCAAATATTATCTTATTAAAACATATATAGCTCCATTATCTTTTCTACATACTTTATAGCTGGTTTTAGTCGTTTAAGTTTACACTGAAAACGTTTTACCATCCAGATTATTATTATTATTATTATTATCCACGATATCAGGGATACATTGCCGAGGGAATAGACACCTTACAATAATACAGCAACAGATATCCGAATGGACATGGTGATCTGAGGTATTGCTCTTCTTTTCATTTCACAGCTGATGAGACAGAGATCTCCTTCGATCCCGATGACATTCTCAATGGCATCGAGATGATTGACGAGGGCTGGTGGCGGGGCTACAGCCCAGACGGTCATTTTGGAATGTTCCCAGCCAATTACGTGGAGCTTGTCTAAGTCCATACCTTGCCCGCTCACTAGATCAGCATATTGAAGGCAGAAGAGAAAATATCCCCCCAGAAGAATTTGGCAGTAGGGAAACTGCTAGCTCCAGAACACAGCAGGTCAGAAGTAACTCAACAGTGAACTTTTCATAGTCAATTGCTGAACTGAATCCTTCACAATATGGACCAATGTATGAACAGTGACCAGGGGTTGCTCAAATCTATCCCTGTTGAAGAGAGAAATTCCATTATTTAGTTTATGTTGTGAGAACTTAAATGGCATTATTTAGGTTTTGATGAAAACCCATATACTGGCCAATCCCAAACTGAATCTCTTACCTTCTGTGATGCAGTAAATTGTCAGACTTTTTTGATGTTTCAATTCAAGATTCCATTGTGAACATTAACAGCACTTGTACATCACATATCTTAAAAAGTGAAGCCAGTTTTGTTCCAGGTGTACTTTTTTTGTTATTTGTAGCATTCACTCCTGTCATGTTCAGGATAATAACATTTCATAGCTCACATAACGGTACCAAATATGATTTTTTTGCCTTTTCCTCAGACTGATATTTTATGTGAATATTTCTATCAGAAATGAGTTTGCTTGAAAATAATCCTGTGTGAATTTCAAACCATAGTTTGCTATTGCAGTTGAATATTAGAAAACCAAAAGGTTATAGATTTGCTGTGCTCTCCTGGGTGGCTGAATTCAAGAAAGAATGGGGGTGAAAATGACACAATCATCATCTCCTTGTGAAATCCTTGTGCAAAAGTATTATTTAAAAAAATATATGTAATGGTTATGCTAAAGAGCTTGTCCCCATACCCTCCCTCCCTGCCCTTTTCAGCCCCTAGAGCAGGGTTCTTCAATTCCGGTCCTGGAGGGCCGAAACACTTCTGTTTTTTATTTCTACCTGGTAGTTAATTGCACTCACCTGGTGTCCCAGGTCTGAAATAACCCCTGATTTAGAAGGAGAGGATGAAAAACAGAGGTGTTTCGGCCCTCCAGGACCGGAATTGAAGAACCCTGCCCTAGAGAATTTTTATGACTGTTTCAGGGACCAGTTACACGAAACAAGGCATGAGTCATCTTTCCTCTCGTGTTGTTGCCTCGTCTTGTTGTCGTAATCTGTGTCTTGGGGTACAATTTGTCTCTGCTTAACCTGTCTTTCACAGTCCAGCTTCCATCAAAATACAGGTCTGTGATTGTCTTAATTTAGCAGGCTTAAGAGAGCCGTGATCAGACGCTGTTATCATGTGAGAGTGCCAAACGAGGGTAACGGAGTGGGGGGATGATGCTGTCCTCTGGAAAGTGCTTTCTCTCATTCTAATCTGTGTGGAAACTTCAATACCATTATGCAGCGTCACCGCTTTTTAACTGAAATCATTGTGAAATAAAACGTTTGTGGGACATTGTCACTTTAAAAACGATCACTGTAATTTCAAGGTGCATGATGTATCCATTGTCCATGTTTTTGTTTTTCAAGAGTATATTGTAATGCTAATACGTTCGTCATAATAAAAGAGTTCAAGTAAAATGTGTGCCAGTCATGGCATCTTTTGTAAATGTTGGTTGTGGCGGCAGTAAGTTGATTTAAACATGGGAGGGCGGTAGTATCTAGCTGATAAAATTGAATGGTGTGCAAGGTGGCATATTGATTATTCTGAAATCTGTTTGGAGTGAAAGCATTGGGGACTTTGAAGGAGCAGTAACTGTTTGATATTGTAGCTACAGTTAGGAGTATCACTTTTAGTCTCATACATAAACCTTAGTTGTGATATATATTCATTCTATAAGCAGTTTCCTGGAATGAGAGCATTAAGGTAACGGCCGGGGATTTTTGTTATTACCTCAGTTTCAGTTTCACAAGAACAGCAAGGTTTTTTAAGTTAACGTTTTTCCCCATCCTTTTAGATAAGATCTCACTTATTTTTCCCTCAACTGAAAAGACATGTCTAAAAGCCTCCCAAAGTGCACTTTTTAAAATTATTAGTTAATTGTGTTACTGAAAATGGCTGAAACTTACAAGAAACCCAAAGTCACGCAAAAGATGAAGAACTGAAAGAAACGTATAGGCCTTTATTTGTTTTCTAACGGTAGAATTCAAAGTGTAACTAGAAAGGCCATTCGATGATTGTGAGTCAAACCTAGAGACTGTTCTGATTGGAATGACAACATTTCTTCTGAACTGTTTCCGTTTACAGTCTGCTGACCCTCTCACTGAAAGGCTGAGATAAATGGCAGGGGATCTTTACATCGAATTTCTCATCTATTCTAAACACTCAGTTTAACTTGGTATTAACGTGAAAATGTCATGTGGCATGCATTATGTCTCTGAGATTTACAGTGCATTCAGAAAGTATTCACACCCCTTGACTTTTTCCATATTTTGTTACAATACCCCCATAATGACAAAGCAAAAACAGGTTTTTAGACATTTTTGCAAATGTATATCTTTTTTTACAAAATACCTTATTTACATACAGTGAGGGGAAAAAAGTATTTGATCCCCTGCTGATTTTGTATGTTTGCCCACTGACAAAGACATGATCATTCTATAATTTTAATTGTAGGTTTATTTGAACAGTGAGAGACAGAATAACAACAAAAAAATCCAGAAAAACGCATGTCAAAAATGTTATAAATTGATTTGCATTTTAATGAGGGAAATAAGTATTTGACCCCTCTGCAAAACATGACTTAGTACTTGGTGGCAAAACCCTTGTTGGCAATCACAGAGGTCAGACGTTTCTTGTAGTTGGCCACCAAGTTTGCACACATCTCAGGAGGGATTTTGTCCCACTCCTCTTTGCAGATCTTCTCCAAGTCATTAAGGTTTCGAGGCTGACGTTTGGCAACTCGAACCTTCAGCTCCCTCCACAGATTTTCTATGGGTTTAAGGTCTGGAGACTGGCTAGGCCACTCGAGGACCTTAATGTGCTTATTCTTGAGCCACTCCTTTGTTGCCTTGGCCGTGTGTTTTGGGTCATTGTCATGCTGGAATACCCATCCACGACCCATTTTCAATGCCCTGGCTGAGGGAAGGAGGTTCTCACCCAAGATTTGACGGTACATGGCACTGTCCATCGTCCCTTTGATGCGGTGAAGTTGTCCTGTCCCCTTAGCAGAAAAACACCCCCAAAGCATAATTGTTCCACCTCCATGTTTGACGGTGGGGATGGTGTTCTTGGGGTCATAGGCAGCATTCCTCCTCCTCCAAACACAGCGAGTTGAGTTGATGCCAAAGAGCTCGATTTTGGTCTCATCTGACCACAACACTTTCACCCAGTTCTCCACTGAATCATTCAGATGTTCATTGGCAAACTTCAGATGGCCCTGTATATGTGCTTTCTTGAGCAGGGGGACCTTGCAGGTGCTGCAGGATTTCAGTCCTTCACGGCGTAGTGTGTTACCAATTGTTTTCTTGGTGACTATGGTCCCAGCTGCCTTGAGATCATTGACAAGATCCTCCCGTGTAGTTCTGGGCTGATTCCTCACCGTTCTCAGGATCATTGCAACTCCACGAGGTGAGATCTTGCATGGAGCCCCAGGTCGAGGGAGATTGACAGTTATTTTGTGTTTCTTCCATTTGCGAATAATCGCACCACTGTTGTCACCTTCTCACCAAGCTGCTTGGCGATGGTCTTTGTAGCCCATTCCAGCCTTGTGTAGGTCTACAATCTTGTCCCTGACATCCTTGGAGAGCTCTTTGGTCTTGGCCATGGTGGAGAGTTTGGAATCTGATTGATTGATTGCTTCTGTGGACAGGTGTCTTTTATACAGGTAACAAGCTAAGATTAGGAGCACTCCCTTTGAGTGTGCTCCTAATCTCAGCTCGTTACCTGAATAAAAGACACCTGGGAGCCAGAAATCTTTCTGATTGAGAGGGAGTCAAATACATATTTCCCTCATTAAAATGCAAATCAATTTCTAACATTTTTTACATGCGTTTTTCTGGATTTTGTTGTTGTTATTCTGTCTCTCACTGTTCAAATAAACCTACCATTAAAATTATAGACAGATCATTTCTTTGTCAGTGGGCAAACGTACAAAATCAGCAGGGGATCAAATACTTTTTCCCTCACTGTAAGTATTCAGACCCTTTGCTATAAGACTTGAAATTGAGCTCAGGTGCATCCTGTTTACATTGATCATCCTTGAGATGTTTCTACAACTTGATTGCAGTCCACCTGTGGTAAATTCAATTGATTGGACATGATTTGGAAAGGCACACACCTGTCTATATAAGGTCCCACAGTTCACAGTGCATGTCAGAGCAAAACCCAAGCCATGAGGTTGAAGGAATTATCCGTAGAGCTCCGAGACAGGATTGTGTCAAGGCACAGATCTGGGGAAGGGTACCAAAAATGTCTGCAGCATTGAAGGTCCCCAAGAACACAGTGGCCTCCATCATTCTTAAATAGAAGAAGTTTGGAACCACCAAGACTCTTCCTAGAGCTGGCCAAACTGAGCAATCGGGGGAGAAGGGCCTTGGTCAAGGAAGTGACCAAGAACCCGATGGTCACTCTGATAGAGCTCCAGACTTCCTCTGTGGAGATGGGAGAACCTTCCAGAAGGACAACCATCTCTGCAGCACTTCACCAATCAGGCCTTTATGGTAGAGTGGCCAAACGGAAGCCACTCCTCAGTAAAGGGCACATGACAGCCCGCTTGGAGTTTGCCAAAAGGCACCTAAAGGCCTCTCAGACCATGAGAAACAAGATTCTCTGGTCTGATGAAACCAAGATTGAACTCTTTGGCCTAAATGCCAAGCGTCACGTCTGGAGGAAACCTTGCACCATCCCTACGGTGAATCATGGTGGTGGCAGCATCATACTGTGGGGATGTTTTTCAGTGGCAGGGACTGAGAGACTAGTCAGGATCGAGGAAAAGATTAACGAAGCAAAGTACAGAGAGATCCTTGATGAAAACCTGCTCAGGACCTCAGACTGGGTCGAAGGTTCACCTTCCAACAGGACAACGCAGGAGTGGCTTCAGGACAAGTCACTGAATGTCCTTGAGTGGCCCAGCCAGAGCCCGGACTTGAACCCGATCGAACATCTGAGAGACCTGAAAGAAGCTGTGCAGCGACGCTCCCCGTCCAACCTGACAAAGCTTGAGAGCATCTGCAGAGAAGAATGGGAGAAACTCCCCAAATACAGGTGTGCCAAGTCTGTAGTGTCACAGCCAAGAAGACTCAAGGCTGTAATCGCTGTCAAACGTGCTTCAACAAAGTACTGAGTAAAGGGTCTGAATACTTATGTAAATGTGATATTTCAGTTTAGTATTTTTAATACATTTGCAAACATTTCTAAACCTGTTTTTGCTTTGTCATTATGGGGTATTGTGTGTAGATTGATGAGGAAAAAAACAATTTCATCAATTTTAGAATTAGGCTGTAATGTAACAAAATGTGGAAAAAAGTCAAGGGGTCTGTATAGTTTCTGAATGCACTGTATCTATTTGAATTATAATTCCCGAAGTTCAGGGATAGATTGGCCAATGCTATCATGTATGTACAGTGGGGAGAACAAGTATTTGATACACTGCCGATTCTGCAGGTTTTCCTACTTACAAAGCATGTAGAGGTCTGTAATTTTTATCATAGGTACACTTCAACTGTGAGAGACAGAATCTAAAAAAAAAAAAATCCAGAAAATCACATTGTATGATTTTTAAGTAATTAATTTCCATTTTATTGCATGACATAAGTATTTGATACATCAGAAAAGCAGAACTTAATATTTGGTACAGAAACCTTTGTTTGCAATTACAGAGATCATTCGTTTCCTGTAGGTCTTGACCAGGTTTGCACACACTGCAGCAGGGATTTTGGCCCACTCCTCCATACAGACCTTCTCCAGATCCTTCAGGTTTCGGGGCTGTCGCTGGGCAATACAGACTTTCAGCTCCCTCCAAAGATTTTCTATTGGGTTCAGGTCTGGAGACTGGCTAGGCCACTCCAGGACCTTGAGATGCTTCTTACGGAGCCACTACTTAGTTGCCCTGGCTGTGTGTTTCGGGTCGTTGTCATGCTGGAAGACCCAGCCACGACCCATCTTCAATGCTCTTTACTGAGGGAAGGAGGTTGTTGGCCAAGATCTCACGGTACATGGCCCCATCCATCCTCCCCTCAATACGGTGCAGTCGTCCTGTCCCCTTTGCAGAAAAGCATCCCCAAAGAATGATGTTTCCACCTCCATGCTTCACGGTTGGGATGGTGTTCTTGGGGTTGTACTCATCCTTCTTCTTCCTCCAAACACGGCGAGTGGAGTTTAGACCAAAAAGCTCTATTTTTTGTCTCATCAGACCACATGACCTTCTCCCATTCCTCCTCTGGATCATCCAGATGGTCATTGGCTAAATTCAGACGGGCCTGGACATGCGCTGGCTTGAGCAGGGGGACCTTGCGTGCGCTGCAGGATTTTAATCCATGACGGTGTAGTGTATTACTAATGGTTTTCTTTGAGACTGTGGTCCCAGCTCTCTTCAGGTCATTGACCAGGTCCTGCCGTGTAGTTCTGGGCTGATCCCTCACCTTCCTCATGATCATTGATGCCCCACGAGGTGAGATCTTGCATGGAGCCCCAGACCGAGGGTGATTGACCGTCATCTTGAATTTCTTCCATTTTCTAATAATTGCGCCAACAGTTGTTGCCTTCTCACCAAGCTGCTTGCCTATTGTCCTGTAGCCCATCCCAGCCTTGTGCAGGTCTACAATTTTATCCCTGATGTCCTTACACAGCTCTCTGGTCTTGGCCATTGTGGAGAGGTTGGAGTCTGTTTGATTGAGTGTGTGGACAGGTGTCTTTTATACAGGTAACGAGTTCAAACAGGTGCAGTTTATACAGGTAATGAGTGGAGAACAGGAGGGCTTCTTAAAGAAGAACGAACAGGTCTGTGAGAGCCGGAATTCTTACTGGTTGGTAGGTGATCAAATACTTATGTCATGCAATAAAAATGCAAATTAAATTACTTAAAAATCATACAATGTGATTTTCTGGATTTTTGTTTTAGATTCCGTCTCTCACAGTTGAAGTGCACCTATGATAAAAAATTACAGACCTCTACATGCTTTGTAAGTAGGAAAACCTGCAAAATCGGCAGTGTATCTAATACTTGTTCTCCCCACTGTATGTATGTGTATATACACTGTGTACTAAACATTAGGAACGTCTTCCTAATATTGAGTTGCACCCCCTTTTGCCCCTCAGAACAACCTCAATTTGTTGTGCATGGACTCTACAAGGTGTCGAAAGCGTTTCACAAGGATGCTGGCCCATGTTGACTCCAATGCTACCCACAGTTGTGTCTAGTTGGCTGGAATGGTGGTGGACCATTCTTGATACACACTGGAAACTGTTGAGCATGAAAAACCCAGCAGCGTTGCAGTTCTTGACACATTCAAACTCGTTCGCCTGGTACCTACTACCATACCCCGTTCAAAGGCACTTAAATATTTTGTCTTGCCCATTCACCCTCTGAATGGCACACATACACAAACCATGTGTCAGTTATCAAGGCTTTAACCTGTCTGCTCCCTTTAATCTACACTGATTTGAAGTGGATTTAACAAGTGACATCAATAAGGGATCAAAGCTTTCACCTGGTCAGTCTGTCATGGAAAGAGCAGGTGTTCCTAATGTTTTGTACACAATGTATTTTGTATATTAAAAAAATAGCATGTTTTCATCAGCTTAATACAAGTAAATTGTGAATTCGAGGTGTGATCACAATCTGAGTCAAATAAAATATTTCATCAACTGACATCAATATCACAATTGCACAAACCAGGAAGAACAGTAATATAGTTATTACATATTACAAAAACGTAGTTCTGTGAAAGCGCTCAGCACCTGCCCAAGTCATTAGTATATAAAATGGAAAAATTAATGTAGCGGGTTGAATCAAGGTAATTCTTTTTCACCCATCCTTATTTCAAACAGCAGTGAAACAAGTGTTTTTTCTCTCAAAAAAACTCCCTGTGAGATCCGGCCAGGCAACTGATAGCTTTGTTATTTTGACATTTAAAGGTTAAACATATATCCAAATGTCATACTCTATCTGCAACAAGTGGAAGAATACGGCCTTTGCATTTCACTGAGATTTGAAACATCTCTAGAGCAAAGCTGGATAAGTAGTATACTGCACCAATATTGACAGTTGCATTTGATTTGCTAGGTTTTTGTTGAATACCTCCAAAGTTTATGCATAGATAAATTATGATTCTCCAAACCATTCCCATGGATGAAATGCAAATATCGGTGTGGTAGAGACAGTTTTGTTGAAAAGATCAGAATGTCAGATTTTGTTTAGACTTATATGCAGGCCTAATCTTATCTTATTTCAATCACTATCCAGACAAAATGTTTTTATTGCTATTAGGTCAACATGTGCACCTCTATAATGATAAAATATATAATCTGTTTTAGTTTTTTCGTCTGTGTAGCCTAATCTAGTGAAACTCATAAAACATTGCCTCAGGTAATCAATTTAAGAAAGGCTACATGAAACAATTATTAAAACTGTGCTTCAATTAGCCTTGAGCCCACTATTGTGTGTTCAGAAAGCTGCTATCAAAAACTCCAACTCCCAGACTCACTTGCTGTGACGGAGACATGACCAACCAATGATAATTCACTGAAGACGTTTTATTTCGAGGTGTGCTGAATTAAGAGACGCTTCTTGAAAAAGGTTGTGCTGAAACAAAGTAAACGATCTTCGGGATTCAAAGGATTATTTTCCAATGGGTAAGTTATTTTTTTATGTTAAGCACCATCAGCTTTCATTGTTTTAGCTGGAGAAGCATCTAAATGTTTTGGCAAAAGCACACACGTACTTATAATGATGGTGTAGACTGGAAATTGTGCCACTGTTTAATAACGTTTGCAATCAGACAACAGCCTATTGTTTTTTGTAACGTCGATCACACGTTCTAATTTTCATAATACGAAATAAAATGTGTTGGGATGTTGTGAAATTGCGCTTACTGTAGGCTACATTACCTGGGGCAGGTAGGCCATTTTAATGATGCAAGTTAACTGACAACATTTTTAATAGAGAGATAAAAGATACATACATGTACGTACATACATGACAAGGAAAGATTATTAAATAAACTTTATTTTAAAAAGCACTAAGCAGAAACACTTGAAATACCTATTTCAAGCAATATACATTTACATTTTAGTCATTTAGCAGACGCTCTTATCCAGAGCGACTTACAGTTAGTGAGTGCATACATTTTTCATACTGGCCCCCCGTGGGAATATATAAATATTAGGAGCATTCCTAATTACTGTTTTGGAAAAAGTAATTAATGAAAGAATATATGGGCTGATAACACTGGAATACAACCCAGATATGGTCAATTACAATTTATCAAGACTTAAGCAGGTTAGTTTAAACTGTAGATTAATTTGAGTGAGATATAAAAATACTTGTGGCACATTGTAAGTACCTCAATTACATCTCTTTTTCTTTAAAAAAAAAAGTCCTTCATACATTGACCAAAGTACATATTTGAACAGATGAAATAGAGAAGTTCTATAGAAAGCACGATTCATGCTGTAAACCACAGCTCAGGAAATGGCTGATCTCGAAAGAGAGGCATATATTGGGTGAGGAAGAGATACGAATGTGGGTGTTCATGGACAATGACACATACGTTTGACAGTTGTCAGGATGGAACATTTACATTTTAGTCATTTAGCAGACGCTCTTATCCAGAGCGACTTACAGTTAGTGAGTGCATACATTTTCATACTGGCCCCCCGTGGGAAACGATCCGACAACCCTGGCGTTGCAAGCGCCATGCTCCTCCAACTGAGCTACAGGGGATGTGGACCGATTCGCGTTCAACCTTTTTATGTCTTATACATTTGTATCAGTAATAAGGCTTTTCTCAGGCAGCTAACAAAGACATGTTGTGCCTAAAAATGATGGAGGGGTTTGGCCTTGGGTTTGGTGTATGATCATTTGATTTAATATATTCACCAAGACATGCAAATGAAATACTGAAAGTCAAATACAACAGTCTGCCTTTTACATTACATTTCTAATTTTCATTGACGTTGTAATGCTTTCATATCAGGAAGGGTACCACATAACTGCGGTTAGACTCATAAGCAGGAAGTGGTTTTGTAACCATGTGGTTTTATATTAGAACTGCGTTGTCTTTTGTCGGTACTGGAGTGTGTGTTAGTTTACAAAATATTCAGTAATAGATCACAAGTGTACTTGTTCTTGCTGCTTGCACAGGATTGGAAATGCAACCATAGGGGAACTAAATAATCAGCTTTTCACACACGTAGGGTTTTATTGTGTCTTGTTCTGGATCACCTGGTCTGACTGATGATGAATATGGGACACACACAATTTTTTGATTATGATAAACCCATGCCCTGTATGGAGTGGAGAGGGTGCTCTCGCATAGTTGTGACTGTTTTTTCCCTGTGTCCTGTGGCAGTATTAGATCCTGAAAGGGAGCGAGACACCAGTCAGAGACCAGTCAGGGAGGAGGGCAGAGGTGTGGAGGGGACACTGAACCAGGTGAGACAGTACACTGTCATTTATCACTCATAAGGATTCCAGGCAGCTTGAGACACTTTCAGTACGCTCACATCCTTAATTTCTTATTTGTGTTTCATTTCCCCACTGCTTTCAGTTCTCTATTTCTTCAAACATCAAATAAGCATGGCAAATATTAGGCTTGTGTAAAGGGGTGAATTTTCTCAGAATAATGGTGTGTTCTTCATTACAGAAGTTGTAAAATAACAAAACCACATGTAACCTCAAGTCACATGCATGTCTTCTCTGATATGTCTGAATTCATGTGTAGGCATACAATTTGATAACACAAATATATCTACAGGGAATGATTTATTCAAATAAATAAAAAATAATAGAATGTGATATACAGAGGCTACCTAAAGTCGAGGGTTTGTTATTGATTAGTGTATTTTATGTTGATGTTTTGCGTATGTTCATTGTGGTATAAATTCACAATTTTGTTTTGTCCTCATCATCATAGGAAATAATATTGCTAAGTGTCATGTTGCAATATCACAAATCTGATCGTTTCAGCATGTTCACAAATGAGTAATAGGAGGAAGGTGATTATTTTATGTGGGAGTTAAGTGGCGTGTGAAAGAATATACGTACACATTTCCCTGTAATTGCACTATCTATCTACACATACAGAAACTGCAGGAGTTCCACTTAGACACAGTTCTGGTAATTGAAGATTTTAAAATAAAAGTTAGAGCAGAGAAGCATCAAGACACTGATCTGAGATGAATGCCTGTGGTTTCTGTGGTGACAAGTGGCCTGTTGATTGCATCAATCAATGTGAAAGTCTTGTTGACACATTGACATCAACATCTCCTACGCCCTTTTCCAAAATGTGAATGTGGTGGAAATGTAGAGGCTGTTTACTGACAGTCTTTCACAACGATATTCATGCTTATTTTAGTGTGTGGTTAACTGTGATGTATATTGTATGCTGGGCTTTATGACTCGGACTGCAGTTGTTTCCTGTATGAAACCAATGTCACATGGAGCTGACTGACATCTCTCTGTTTTGTGGTCCAGCCATGAATAGAATACATTTATTCAATATAGTATACATATAAATAAAACAACTGGCTTGCTTATCTTATAATACTTACTGTAAACCTGTTCAATAGTCATATGCAACTAATGCATTACGTTGTTAGAAAAATACTATTGAATCATTTCTGGAAATGTGTTGCCCAATATGACTAATCCAAATTCCAGTCATAAATGCTTTGTCTTTATTCTTAAGAACTTTACATGATATCTCATTGACTAACAGATTAGATGTGAGGATGGCTGTGTATGGCATTAACGATTATTCTACAACTTTGTAAAAGCACTTAACCAAAACATTTAATATTTTGGTGAAAATAACCTACAATGCAACGTAAGTCATCTATCCATAGCAAGAGAAAGAGTTGCAGCTGGCCAGTCAAGGCAGGAAGAAGAAGAAGAAAGTGAGAGAGTATTGCATGGTTGGAGGCTCATGGATGAAAGATAGACACGGTTTTCAGCTACAACACCCTATGGGACAGCTGTATAGAGCTGTGAGTCAGTCAGTGCTATCCCAAATAGGGGCCTACATCTTCACTATTACTCACCACTGGCTCCCGCTTCTCGGAACAAGTAACCACAGAGAGGAACCTGATTCAATAAGAAACTCTGGTTGAGTTTTGTCTACAGTGCAGCATACACCACCGAAACAAAATAGTCTCTGTATTTGGTGATTCAGACTGGGATATTGTATGTTTTCATTTTCTGCTCTCATGTGATGTAAATGCAATAAAAAATATCAAACCTCTACACTATCAGTCCATAACCCTGTGCAAATTGAACCTGTATGCTATTGCACAACCGATAAACCGATATTGTCCCTTTCAGAATTTGGACTGTTGCCAAAAATAATAGTTTTACTTTTCAAATATTTCTAGTACAAATTATGATACGGTGTCAGCAGTTTTGTGAATTTCAGCTTCCTATACTTTTGTAATGTTAGTAAGTGTCCAGTTTGATCAGTTTAAAGTGTCATAGACACTTCTCATCCCGACGAGTGCAGTGAATGTGAGGACATTTATCTGGTGAGCGCTGGGGTTAATTTCTGCTTGCCTCTACTGTTTCATTTCTCATTTGGTATACACTGCATGTTGTGACTTTTCTCCTTTCTGCTCATTAGTGTTTGCTTACACAAAGCTTAAACAGAGTAACCTCCTATTTCAACATAATAATCAATTCCTGAAATATGCCTCTGAAAACAACTGTCTATGCTGCAATACTGATAATTGCAAACAGATTTTTTTTACCTCACTTTTTTTTTTATTGAACAGATTCTAATCATATGAACTACTTCCTAGGCTACTCAGTCTGTCATTTCTAAATTACATTCATCCCATTCACTTTCATGTCAGTGGAAAATAAATGTATAACAAAGGGCTTGTGAGTAAAGACTTTGGGGGGGGGGGGGGAAGGGCCCTTTCATACTGTGTAACAAAAACTATTCATGCCTTCATATTTGATATTACCAGGTTTAGACCATATGTCTGTTGGTTTCCCTTTGTACAGGATGTATGTTTACTTATTGAAAGGGGTGGTAAAAGCCAACTCAAATTCTAGTTATCCAAGAAAGGACAAGTAGTCTGAGAAAAGACTTTGTTGCAATAAAAAAAAGAAGTGTATTTCCTATTGTATGATTGGTTTATTGCTCATTGCAGTTCTGTTTTGAAGAGTTACAGTGGGGAGAACAAGTATTTGATACACTGCCGATTTTGCAGGTTTTCCTACTTACAAAGCATGTAGAGGTCTGTAATTTTTATCATAGGTACACTTCAACTGTGAGAGACGGAATCTAAAACAAAAATCCAGAAAATCACATTGTATGATTTTTAAGTAATTAATTTGCGTTTTATTGCATGACATAAGTATTTGATACATCAGAAAAGCAGAACTTAATATTTGGTACAGAAACCTTTGTTTGCAATTACAGAGATCATACGTTTCCTGTAGGTCTTGACCAGGTTTGCACACACTGCAGCAGGGATTTTGGCCCACTCCTCCATACAGACCTTCTCCAGATCCTTCAGGTTTCGGGGTTGTCGCTGGGCAATACAGACTTTCAGCTCCCTCCAAAGATTTTCTATTGGGTTCAGGTCTGAAGACTGGCTAGGCCACTCCAGGACCTTGAGATGCTTCTTACGGAGCCACTCCTTAGTTGCCCTGGCTGTGTGTTTCGGGTCGTTGTCATGCTGGAAGACCCAGCAACGACCCATCTTCAATGCTCTTACTGAGGGAAGGAGGTTGTTGGCCAAGATCTCGCGATACATGGCCCCATCCATCCTCCCCTCAATACGGTGCAGTCGTCCTGTCCCCTTTGCAGAAAAGCATCCCAAAAGAATGATGTTTCCACCTCCATGCTTCACGGTTGGGATGGTGTTCTTGGGGTTGTACTCATCCTTCTTCTTCCTCCAAACACGGCAAGTGGAGTTTAGACCAAAAAGCTATATTTTTGTCTCATCAGACCACATTACCTTCTCCCATTCCTCCTCTGGATCATCCAGATGGTCATTGGCAAACTTCAGACGGGCCTGGACATGCGCTGGCTTGAGCAGGGGGACCTTGCGTGCGCTGCAGGATTTTAATCCATGACGGCGTAGTGTGTTACTAATGGTTTTCTTTGAGACTGTGGTCCCAGCTCTCTTCAGGTCATTGACCAGGTCCTGACGTGTAGTTCTGGGCTGATCCCTCACCTTCCTCATGATCATTGATGCTCTACGAGGTGAGATCTTGCATGGAGCCCCAGACCGAGGATGATTGACCGTCATCTTGAACTTCTTCCATTTTCTAATAATTGCGCCAACAGTTGTTGCCTTCTCACCAAGCTGCTTGCCTATTGTCCTGTAGCCCACCCCAGCCTTGTGCAGGTCTACAATTTTATCCCTGATGTCCTTACACAGCTCTCTGGTCTTGGCCATTGTGGAGAGGTTGGAGTCTGTTTGATTGAGTGTGTGGACAGGTGTCTTTTATACAGGTAACGAGTTCAAACAGGTGCAGTTAATACAGGTAATGAGTGGAGAACAGGAGGGCTTCTTGAAGAAAAACTAACAGATCTGTGAGAGCCGGAATTCTTACTGGTTGGTAGGTGATCAAATACTTATGTCATGCAATAAAATGCAAATTAATTACTTAAAAATCATACAATGTGATTTTCTGGATTTTTGTTTTAGATTCTGTCTCTCACAGTTGAAATGTACCTATGATAAAAATTACAGACCTCTACATGCTTTCTAAGTAGGAAAACCTGCAAAATCGGCAGTGTATCAAATACTTGTTCTCCCCACTGTACATGTTCAGTAATAGTATGCATTCCTGGAATTGGATTTACATTTCTGTATTTTCTCTCCCTCTTTTGTCGATCTGGTGGTCTCTACCGTAGAATTCTGCAGCAATGGAGATTTCTGACTCGGCCAGTGAATGTGAGGAGAGGCCCAGTTCTAGCCCAATGGAGACAGAGGAGAGGTCCTTCATAGCCAGTTTGCACTGTTTCATGAAGGACCGAGGCACACCCATTGAGAGGATACCACACTTGGGCTTTAAGCAGAGTGAGTCCATGCTCAAAGCATATAGCCATAGCTTTATCACCCAATCTCTATCTGCATACATTATTATATAGATTCATTTCCTCTGCTCTTCAGAGCACCTCAGTCTCGAGCATAGTTTGAAGTAAATGCATGTGTTAAGACCATTTCATCATACTGTAGCTTCATAGTGAACAATATTAATTATAGAATTGTGCCCCATGGTGTTCAAATGCATATGGTTTCTACTTGCAGTTAACCTGTGGAAAATCTACAAAGCTGTTGAGAAGCTTGGCAGTTACGACTCTGTGAGTACACCCATATATAGTACAGAGTAGTTCTATATGTTCACCAGACATAGGTTGTTGCTGTTTTTTTACACTTTACCTGATTGTTGATCATACATACAGAGGCGGCAGCTACTCGCATTGTATTTTTTTTTATGTTGTCAAAGATATCATGCAGTTTAGCATCTTGTGTGGCACATTAGCTTTAGTTAATGGGATGTAAACATGACTGTTCCCACCACACTAAGAGCCGAGTCCACACTAGGCTGTCAACATGAACCTGGCCATGTAGCCTACCGTTCTACTGCTTTGTTCTCTTTGGCTGAATGAAGTTTCCATTCTGTGACGTGTACACGCTCAATGCGCTGAGAGAGGAAGGGTTTCTCTGAAATGCCACTTGAGTCAGATTTCACAGGAGCTTGGTCAATAGGACCTTGTTCTCTATTTTAGTAATGGGCCATTCATTTAAGCTCCCTCCATATATTTTTAATTAGTTCCAAAAGACAGATTAAACATTGTCTTATACTGTGCGTCAAATATATGAATGGATACGACTAGTGATTCTGGATTAGCGTCTTAAAGGTGTGTGTTTGCTCACTATGGTGTATGTCCCAACAGGTGACATCGCGGCGGCTGTGGAAGAATGTGTATGATGAGCTGGGCGGCAGCCCAGGCAGCACCAGCGCTGCTACCTGCACCCGCAGACACTATGAGAGGTGAGGCCAAACACTGCTGTGCTCCCGCTAACCTGTCAGTAACATCACTCCATCTCTACATGTTTTCATGGTGTCATCTGTTTGTGTTCCATACAGGCTTGTTTTACCCTTTGAGAGACAGTTGAGGGGGGAGGAGGACAAACCTCTGCCTCCGAGCAAACCACGCAAACAGTACAAGAGGAGTCCAGATGGCAAGGGGAGCAAGTCTGAGGTCAAGAGGAAGAGGCCCCATCTGGAAAAGGAGACAGACTCTGAGGTACCTCACCTTGTACCTGTTAGTGGCCATTGTCATAACAAAGTCACTTCCTGTTCTCTATTACTCCTGCCTATGTACCCCACCTGTATGAGTGGAAATTACCTCTATATGTTGTCTTGTTACAGGGCCAGGTACATTCTACTCCATTGTCTTCATGGACTACTCCATCTGAAAGGCTCCACCCAGACCATCCTCCACCAAACAGTGAGACTACCGTGTGTGACGACCTCTCTTCCTCAGCATGCACCCTATCTCACCCAGCCCAGGGCCCTACTTCATGCCCCTGGAGAGGAAGTCAGCTCCAGTCTGCTGCTGCAGATATCATCTCTCCTCTGGAGAAGAAGAAGCGTATGGCCCAGGCCAGCCTGAGCCAGTCCCAGGACTCCCAGACCCCCAGACAGGGGGACTGTAAGGGCAGGCCCTCTGTGATCCACTGCTCCCAGTCCCCAGGGCTGCTCCCTCCCAGCCGGACACGCACTACCTCTGAGGGCTCTCCTCTCCCTCCGTCGTCCTCCTCCTCCCGTAGCCCGTCCCCCTACTCCATCTCTTCTGAGGACTGTCCAGCACTAACTGAAGACAGGCCGCCAGTACCAAAACCAGAAGTACACGTTCATTTTTCCAGCAACCCTATATCTGCCCACAGTGGGGTCCACAAGCCTCGGACCTGCAGCCCTGATGTCAAGGAATATGTTGGCTTCCCTGGAGGACAAAGAGATTTCCCTCAGGTCAGCCCCCTACCAGTTGAAACCGTCTCTATCAAAGGTCAGAGTAAAAACTCTGTATGGAGCCCAGTCTGCAATGGGAGTAACAGACGTCCAGCTCACCAGATACACCCACCAACGTCTTGCACATATACTGTTAGATCTTGCTTGGTTCCATCCACCTCCAGTTTCACCAAGGTTTATCCCAAGTCTATGGAGTCTTTGCGGCCTATACCCTTTCAGCCAGGTTACACATTCCATCAAAACCCAAATAGGCCCATGTTGCATGATGACGGTCTGATCTATAAGAAGAAACTACATATGGTCCCTCGACATTATCAGATGGAGAAAAAGGAGAAGTCCAGGACCATGTTGCCCAAGCCACTTCCAACTCAACAACCTGTGTTCCACCCTAATGCCAGCATTCCAGTGTCCTACCTCATCCCAGCCTATGACAGGACAAGGGGAGACTCTGGGCAGAAGCCACCTGTACACCCTCTCTTTCTACCTACCCACGTCAGACTGTCCCAGTCCCAGACCAACCCTATGTACCGCCATGCCCCAACGGGACACACCCATACTTCCTCTTATGAGCCTGCTCTCTACTCCTATCCCTATCACATTCCTATGTGTAATCCCCATACTGGATACAGCATCACTGGTGTACATTATCCTCACACCAGGCTTTGATAGCCCAGCCTAACTCAGAGCCTATTGACAATGTGACAAGTCAAACAGAGGTAATGACAGTACCTGCTTCGTTCTAGACATTTTCTAAACTTGCCTCGAACACCGCTGCATTCAATGTGAGTGATCAACAGAGAAACATTGTTGTGATTATTATGCTGAGATGTGCTCCCCTCCATGGCAACTGACAGAATTGCACTAATAAAAAGGGCTAGACTTTCTGTATTTGTAACAATAACCTTGAGGTTTACTGCTATGCACATGTATTTTTTATGGTATGATCAAATCATTTTACATGGATATAATATATGAAACAACACAGATTTATTTTTCTATTTCTGAATAAAATCTAAAATAATTCCTGTCTTATTCTAGTCTGCATTCTTTGGTAAGTAAATAACCATGGTCATTTTTTTTTTTCTACAATATTTTAATTCATTTTGAGCTAAATTAAACTTCAAATAAAGACATGATCCATGATAATTTTTGAGAAATGGGACATGTAGCACTTGATCCATGGAAAGTAGACCACTATTCATTAATGAAATATTTCATAAATGTCCACAGCTCAAGACAGAAAGCCTGAGCTGAAATAAACACATACATTTGTGCAAATTATACTTTTATTGTATTTCCTGTAGGCTATGAGTCGGTAGGCATAAACCTAACACTGCGCATTAGTTGCGCACGTTTGAATGTCTCCGACGTCATCACGCATTGCTTTCAGTTGGCGCGAACTTTAACCGGAAGTGTGCGTTTCCTGTTTGTTGTGTCTGTGTTGTGCAGTCGAAATCGAGCTTTACAGTGTTGTTATCTGTAGCTGTAATGTAGAATGTTAACATTCTGCGTAGTTCATCAGAGTACCAACGTTTTCTGGTCAGCTGCTGAATATTTATTGTAAACTAAGCAAGTCAGCTTAAGAGCAATTATGTCGGATGCGTTGTCTGATGATCATGATGCCAGCGACATGAGCGGAGGAGATGACGGCCAAGAAGATGTGATGACTCCATCGGAACTGATTGGGAAACTGGAAGAGGTAACTAACTAGCTAGCCAGCCATATTCACTATACTGTAGCCAGACATATATGTTTTGCAATGCACAGATCCTGTCAAAACAAAAAGCGTCATTGTCACTGCTCCTACGCTATCATAAAGTGGACATTGTGTGTGTGTTCCTCTGTCCCCAGGCCTGGCTGAATGAGAAGTTCTCTCCTGAGCTTCTAGAGAACAAGTCAGAGATGGTGGAGTGTGTGATGGAGCAGCTGACTCACATGGTAAATGGTGGTGGGGTGCCTCACATAACGGAGGGGTGCAGCAGCTGTGTCTCTGTGAGCATTGAGGTTCCAGTAATAATAATAACAACAACAGAACTACTACCTTGTGTGATTCTGTTGACAGGAGGCCAATCTGCAGCGGGTTAGGAAGGGTGATATGAAGGCCAGTGTCCACCGCATGGAGATTGACAGGATCCGCTATGTCCTCAGCAGTTACCTCCGCTCTCGCCTCCAAAAGGTAACAACAACCCAGCATGCTGTTTGATGATCTTCTTATGAGAGGGACTATAAATCAATGCTCAAACTGACACCTTTCTCTCTGGTCCTCTGTTGCCTGTGTAGATTGAGAAGTTTTTCCCTCATGTCTTGGAGAAAGAGAAGTCTCGAGCGGAGGGAGATCCTTCATTCCTGTCTCCAGAGGAGTTTGCCTTTGCCAAAGAGTGAGTGTTATGGTGATGTTGTCGCTTTTAGTTATAATGACTGTAGTTGGAGGAAAGTCTGTGCGTTGTTTGAATGTCTTATTTACTTCCATTATTATTATTATTATTATCATATGTGCTGTGTTCCATCTCTTCCATTCAGATATCTGGCCAACACAGAGACCTATCTGAAGGCTGTAGCTCTGAAACACATGCCCCCAAATCTACAGACGGTGGATATGCCAAAAGCAGGTGAGGCCTGGCAAGATATTATTTACATGATTTACTATTCCAATATTCTGATCGGCTGCTTGTAAAAAATATCAGTGGCATGTTTACTGTGCATGGATGGAAGCATTGTATTCTCTTGTCACATGATTAACTCCCATGTGTAATGATATGTACCCAGTGCCAGAGCCCTGTCTGGACTCCTTTGTGTTCCTGCGTGTGAGGGAGAAACAGGAAAACATCTTGGTGGAACCTGAGACAGACGACCAGAGGTACAGTATCACACATGATCATTGGACTGATTGATGGGTGCCACAGCTTCACGAGAGCAGCTCATTTTAATTTGGAATAGGCTTACTGCTATCTCACTTTGTTGATAATGTATCAAGATTTAAGAATAGAAGTCTGATGAAGAGTAGGTTGGTTATTTATGCAGTATTCTGTAGATCCAGTAGGTGGTAGCATATGTCTGTATAAATGTGTTTTCTATTTACTGTTACTGTCTGCAAGAATATATACCTGCTTACTCCACGGACATTGTATTGTTATTTATTGATATGCCTGGTCTCTTGCTATGAAATAATTTGACATTTTTTGTCCAATATTTTCTTCCAGAGAGTATGTTGTGGATCTTGACGAGGGTTCTCAGCATCTGATGCGGTATCGCACTATAGCACCTCTGGTTTCAAGTGGAGCAGTACAGCTCATTTAATTGTCAAGGTACTCAACTAATAGGCCACACTGATTTCCCTGATATCTAATCTATGACACACACACATCCATACTGTGTTTTTAAAATATGTTGGAGTGTGCATGATTCAAATCAAAATCTTACATAGACTGCTTTGTACTGTCATCATTTTTATTTTTAGCCTTCGCTTTTTGCCCTGAACATGGTCTCTTGGCAACTAACCAAGTTGGAAATTCTCTCTCTTAGAACATTTGCTTGAACAACGCATTACCAACACAACAATGAGGCAATTTCCCACTGAACTGCAACAGAACAGGCAGTATATTATGTTTGCAGATCTGTCTCTGTAATAACATAGGCCTACTCTATTTGGGCTGTTTTAGGTGCCTCTTTCCTTGGTTCAGATGCAGTTGTTAGTTTCCAGTTGTGATGGCGGATGACCAGAGGAACACTGACTCCCTTCATTGAACATTGACTACATTGATTGAAGTACATTGAGGAGGGCGATATGGACATTATTTGTGGACTACCAACTCTTCAAGAGCCGGGCATGAACTGGAATGTCTGCAAATATGTCACTGACTTGTCAAACTGTGTTACGTACCTGAGGACACTCCTTTCTCTCACATGAAGCCTGCTTATAGTTATAATGATGATTGTTGGATACATAGGAGGCTATAAGTGAGAGAGACTTGAGGATGACAGGAATACATGAATGGCACATCATGGTGTCTACATGTACATTATAAGGTTGAGAGGTACAAACAAATATAGTGAATGTATTGATTTCAACAGTGTGTTTGTTGCTTCTACAATAAATGTGATTTGAATGGTGTATAGAATGTCTCGGTGGTCATATACAGTGTACACATATCATTGCCATTTGCCAAAGGAAAAGAGAATGCTCTTGCTTTCCAACCACAGTGCAAGCATGAATTTGTATTTGGCATGCTGCCTCGGTCATATGATGTGGTCTATTTCAAATCTGGGTGTGAACAATATAAATAAAGGTGTAGATTTATGTTTATAGACAGACTGATATTAATACTTTGACTCCATGGTATGATGTAAAGTCCCCTGTTTTGGGGACCTGCGTGGTTCTGGTACCGGTTCCGATCGCTTAAATTGATATGGACACCATAGATCAAAATGGCTTGCATTGAGCGGTAGCCCTGATTCTGTCGGATACAGGAATATGTCTCTTCTGTCTGTGTGAAGCAGGATGTGAAATCTGACACCACTTGAAGCTGGGATGTCCCTCCTACCATTTCATTTGCTCTTCCGACTGTCCATCAACTTCTGGCTGAACCCTACGTCACAGCCACTAACAACGCATATGCCTGAAATCCTTACATCGTAACGCAGCAGGAGAGTGGTTTCGTCGCTGTAGCACATTCAGAGATCGATTTATAGCCAGTAATATAATTAATAGATTTTAAACAAAAACATAGACGGAAAAGATTAATATGAGATGAAAGGCAAGTTCCTATCAAGTTCAGGAAGCCAAGCTAGAGCTCTGAGATGTTCACAGTGATGGGGGCAGACGTTTAGATCAAGAGAGACATTTAGAAAATATGCACACTTTCTCTAACACTAAATATACAAATATGTATTTTACGGTTATAAGGAAGGTGAAATCTTATAGTTAGTCGTTTTATAAATTGATTATACTATATTTAGAAAAATATGTAATTTCAAGTCTTATTCATACAGTTTTGTTGAATAGGAAATGCAAAAGTGACACCTCAGCAATTTATAAAAAAATTATTGGCGTATGCAGCGTTATTGTTTATGGCGCTCTCATGATAAATAATTACTTTTGGGGATTACGTAGACTACATTTTCAATTACATTTAGTTACATTTAAGAGATTAAGTCTTTAGCAATAGGACCTTGTCTTACATTGCCCCCAGTAAATAATGGTTGATCAGCCATAAGCTGTGCACCAATGGTCCGCAAATACACCATCTGTTTGTAGTTAAGAGGAACACGCCTGCATCATTACATGCATTAATTTTACATACATCCAATGACCCCCAGTATCCCTCTCTTTCTATGTATCAGTAAAAACATCTCAGTTGTTTGACCATTTATGAAAGGTCATGCACAACTATATACAGTACCTTCAGGAAGTATTTATACCCCTTAACTTATTCCACATTTTGTTGTGTTACATCCTGAATTCAAAATGAATTAACAACACCTCATAATGACAAAGTGAAAACATGTTTATACACTGCTCAAAAAAATAAAGGAAACACTTAAACAACACATCCTAGATCTGAATGAAATAATCTGATTAAATACTTTTTTCTTTACATAGTTGAATGTGCTGACAACAAAATCACACAAAAATTATCAATGGAAATCAAATTTATCAACCCATGGAGGTCTGGATTTGGAGTCACCCTCAAAATTAAAGTGGAAAACCACACTACAGGCTGATCCAATTTTGATGTAATGTCCTCAAAACAAGTCAAAATGAGGCTCAGTAGTGTGTGTGGCCTCCACGTGCCTGTATGACCTCCCTACAACGCCTGGGCATGCTCCTAATGAGGTGGCGGATGGTCTCCTGAGGGATCTCCTCCCAGACCTGGACTAAAGCATCCGCCAACTCCTGGACAGTTGGTGGATGGAGCGAGACATGATGTCCCAGATGTGCTCAATTGGATTCAGGTCTGGGGAACGGGCTGGCCAGTCCATAGCATCAATGCCTTCCTCTTGCAGGAACTGCTGACACACTCCAGCCATATGAGGTCTAGCATTGTCTTGCATTAAGAGGAACCCAGGGCCAACCGCACCAGCATATGGTCTCACAAGGGGTCTGAGGATCTCATCTCGGTACCTAATGGCAGTCAGGCTACCTCTGGCGAGCACATGGAGGGCTGTGCGGCCCCCCAAAGAATTGCCACCCCACACCATGACTGACCCACCGCCAAACCGGTCATGCTGGAGGATGTTGCAGGCAGCATAACGTTCTCCACGGCGTCTCCAGACTCTGTCACGTCTGTCACGTGCTCAGTGTGAACCTGCTTTCATCTGTGAAGAGCACAGGGCGCCAGTGACGAATTTGCCAATCTTGGTGTTCTCTGGCAAATGCCAAACGTCCTGCACGGTGTTGAGCTGTAAGCACAACCCCCACCTGTGGACGTCGGGCCCTCATACCACCCTCATGGAGTCTGTTTCTGACCGTTTGAGCAGACACATGCACATTTGTGGCCTGCTGGAGGTCATTTTGCAGGGCTCTGGCAGTGCTCCTCCTGCTCCTCCTTGCACAAAGGCGGAGGTAGCGGTCCTGCTGCTGGGTTGTTGCCCTCCTACGGCCTCCTCCACGTCTCCTGATGTACTGGCCTGTCTCCTGGTAGCGCCTCCATGCTCTGGACACTACACTGACTGACACAGCAAACCTTCTTGCCACAGCTCGCATTGATGTGCCATCCTGGACGAGCTGCACTACCTGAGCCACTTGTGTGGGTTGTAGACTCCGTCTCATGCTACCACTAGAGTGAAAGCACCGCCAACATTCAAAAGTGACCAAAACATCAGCCAGGAAGCATAGGAACTGAGAAGTGGTCTGTGGTCACCACCTGCAGAACCACTTCTTTATTGGGGGTGTCTTGCTAATTGCCTATAATTTCCACCTGTTGTCTATTCCATTTGCACAACAGCATGTGAAATTTATTGTCAATCAGTGTTGCTTCCTAAGTGGACAGTTTGATTTCACAGAAGTGTGATTGACTTGGAGTTACATTGTGTTGTTTAAGTGTTCCCTTTATTTTTTTGAGCAGTGTAGAAAATTTTAGCACTTAAAAAATGAAATACAGAAATGTCTCATTTACATAAATATTCACACCCCTGAGTCAATACTTTGTAGAAGCACCTTTGCCAGCGATTACAGCTGTGAGTCTTTCTGGTTAAGTCTCTTAAGAGCTTTCCACACCTGGATTGTGCAACATTTGCCCATCATTGTTTTTGTTTTGTTTTTTTTAACAAATATTCAATCTCTGTCAAATTGGTCACTGTCTTATTGATGTCACCTGTTAAATCCACTTCAGTCAATGTAGATGAAGGGGAGGAGACAGGTTAAAGAATGATTTTTAAGCCTTGAGACAATTGAGACATGGATTGTGTATATGTGCCATTCAGAGGGTGAATGGACAAGACAAAAGATTCAAGTGCCTTTGAACGGGGTATGGTAGTAGGTGCCAGGCGCACCGGTTTGAGTGTGTGCCTGTGGGAAGCATTGGAGTCAGCATGGGCCAGCATCCCTGTGGAACGCTTTCGACACCTTGTGGAGTCCAAGCCCTGACGAATTGAGGCTGTTCTGAGGGCAAAAGGGCGTGCAACTCAATGTTAGGAAGGTGTTCTTAATGGTTTATACACTCAGTGTAAGTCAAAACTGTAACTCAGCCACTCAGGAACATTCACTGTCTTCTTGGTAAGCAACTCCAGTGTAGAGTTGGCCTTCTTTTAGTTTTTTTTGCTGCTGAAAGAAAGGTGAATTCATCTCCCAGTTTCTGGTGAAAAGCAGACTGAACCAGGTTTTCCTCTAGGATTTTACATGTGCTTAGCTCCATTCCGTTTATTTTTTATCCTGAAAAATCCTGTCCTTAACGATTGCAAGCATACCCATAGCATGATACTGTCACCAGTATGCTTGAAAATATGGAGAGTGGTACTCAGTAATGTGTTGTATTGGATTTGCCCAAAACATAACACTTTGTATTCATGACAAAAAGTGACTTGCTTTGCCACATTTGTTGCTGTATTACGTCAGTGCCTTGTTGCAAACAGGATGCATGTTTTGGAATATTAGTATTCTGTACAAGCTTCCTTCTTTTCAGTCTGTCAATTAGGTTAGTATTGTGGAGCAACTACAATGTTGTTGATCCATCTTCCGTTTTCTGCTATCACAGCCATCAAACTCTGTAACTGTTTAAAAGTGACCATTGACTTCATGGTGAAATCCCTGAGCAGTTTCCTTCCTCTTTCCAACAACTGAGTTAAGAAGGACGCCTGTGTCTTTGTAGTGACTAGGTGTATTAATACACCATCCAAAGTGTAATTAATAACTTC